TATAATAATAAACACAGGTTACCATTAGAGGTTGGGAGTTATAAGAAAGCAAATAATTGTTTTCCTGTTTTTCAAATTGCTTATAATGACAAGTAACTTCTTTCTTGCTAAATGTTTTGAAATTACAGCCAATGATCATCACAAGATTTCAACAATTAATGGCAACCACTCAATTGCACTTCACTGTGTTTCTTCAATGAACCAAAAAAAGCAAATATTATAAACAACTTTATTACAAGGTGTTGCTGAAAAGTTCTCAGCTCCACCACTTTCCTAATATCAGGATGTTACTTTGGAAGGACATCTTAGTCTGGGCAAGAGCTTTCCAACATACCCTTATACGACTATCAGATTGTATATAGTGACTCAATTTACAAATTAGATATTCTTTATCCTTGCACTTAAAATATAGAACTTAAAAAAAAAACAAAAAAACCATGCACTGTGATTATATAAAAAAAAAAAAAAAAAAACTAAACAAGTGCTGAACAACAACATCAATATTTCTACAGATTTATTTCATTAATAACAAAGGACCTTTGAAATGATCAGTAGAAACGAGAAGAAAAGATAAAAGTGAAGAAATTGAATAAAGAAAATAAAAGAAAAATGGCTTAATTGACATCAAATGAGTATAGGCAAGAAAAAAATGGAATTGTTATTCTAATGAATTTTGTCAACCAGAAGTTAGCATCAAACGGTTTTTGAAGAAATCTGACAACTAGCCAGTAAGTCACCATCATTTGATGTAAATTTGAAGTCATTTAGTAAGAGGAGGAGAATTTTGTTATGGAACTAATTATATGTCTGTTTAACATTTGATGCCCCAAAGTTCAGAAGATAAGAAACTATAAAAGAAGAGTAACAAGAAAAGAATCAACAGAGATGTGCTTCTACTGATGGATGCTAAGAATACCATAGAGAAAACATGTGAGCAACAAAGAAGTATTAAGGAAAACAGGAACAACCTGAAGACAATCAGAAGAGACAGCTGAAATTTCTGGGAGACAATAACAAAAGAGGAACAAGAGAATTTAACATGCAGAGAGAAATGGGAGGGAGAAGAACAAATAACTTACCTAACAACTTTGGGTTAAATGGATAGCAAAACAGAAAGGAATGGTAAAAAAATCAAAAATTATTTAAAAGAAAAACAAGAAGTTATGTAGAGTCATGATTGTCCACATTTTGAAAGGACTTTGCACATAAAAGACATAATCGCCTACTTACTCAAAGTTCTGAGGTGATAACTTCACAAATTATGTAGACTGAATTTTCAACTTATTTTCTAATAAAGACATTCGAGAAAATGCACTCTATACAACTTTTGCTAACTTATAACTTAAGTCCAGCACATGTAGTTTATTTTGCAGAATGCTTTGTGTATTAATTATTGATAAAGCATAAGGAAATAAATCGAAATTAAAACAAAATATATAAATGCAATAAACTACAAACTAAATTTACAAAATTAAGACTTAAAATGCTTATTAATAAAAAAATGAATAAAGAAATAAAAAAATCCAATTTAAAAGAGGAAAAAAAAAAAACTTATATTTAAAAGAATAAATCTTAAAAAGACATTAAAAATCGTAATGCTCTCACACAAACTGAAATCTAAACATTACCAAATTGAGAAAAACTTCTTGATACTAATATCACTTATTCAGAAAGACATCTTTATGTAGAGCAAAATAGATCTTGTTGAAACCACTTAGATATCAATCTTGTCATCTAAAGCTTCTACAATATACTTGTCTCCATACAAGGCTATGTGTCATTTCTATACAACAACCAAAATGAACCCTATGGTATAAAAGGTTACAAAAAGGAAGCCATCTATGCTAGAAACCCGATTGTCTTAAGTAGGAACAAACTGCTCTCTCAATGTAAACTGAATATCACAATATAACTAGCACAAGTCCTTTTTCAATTGTACCTTTTCCAAAGGTCAACCTGCTAGCTACAACTGAAGGAGGAAACAATGGTGAAAGTTATGGGATGGAATATTGAAACCAAACATCAATCAACACAACACTTCCCTCGTTAACTTAACTATGACTACTGCTACTAGTCACCAAGACTATTTACTCTCCTTAGGTGTAAAAGGAGGAGAGTCCTTTCTAATTACTTAGATTTCACAGCAAAATACTAATGTAAGCACTATACCACAAGGCATAAAAGTTAACAACTGTTCTACTAATTCTAACTTGGACTTCTAACCATGAATGACAGAAGAAAGAATCGGAAGATAGACATCCTACAACTAGGTAGTTACAAAAAACATTCATGATAGTGACAAGGATTCTCTTCACTTCCTGCCACATACAGCAGTTTCATAAAACATGTTGACAAACTTGATAGTATTAGCCATGTTAAATTTACCTCCAAATTTTTCTGCTCAGACTATGACGGAAAATCCAAACATGTAGGTGTAGGGAGGTGATGGGGAAAATGATCCACATTTGCAGAAAATACACAATTCCATACACATTGGAATCCTCATATTAGAATAATAATATTACAGGAAGACTTTTCTATTTTTCTTTCAAGTGAAATATCCAGGTTATAGTAGAGAATTTAGTTGGAAAGATCAATTGCAAGTCAGATTCTAAATTTTATTTTTGGTAATGAAAAAATAAAATGGCATAACTTTGATAAAGAAGTTCTGGTGTATTCTGGTTAAAATTCAACAGATTTTAACACAACTCTGATGAAGTTTATGTTCTTTCTCAGTAGCAAGGAATAGAAGCTGAAGTCAGGTACCAAAGTAGAAGGAATCTAAGGTTTTTGTGTTATGGATAGGAACAGCCTTAATTAAATATCTTGATAGATGTCCAGTTTCAATAGAATGGAGGTCAGGGTATAGAGTATCTTCAACATTCAAATAGCGTTAACTGATCAAAATTTTATGCAAGATTGTTTTGTAAGTGTGTGTATCAAAGAGCTGAAGATTTTTGGCATATGGAAAGATGACATTTGCTAATGAATAAGTTTTTAATGTGGTTAGTTGTTGACGAGCCCTAGGAGAGCAGATAAGTCGTTCAAATATCACCAAGCCAACACATTAATGTAGTATTTATGCCTCAGGTGCTTTGACCTCTTAACATTGTTGATGGACGGAGAGTTAAGAAAAATACTGAATTAAAAGAAAAAAAAAAAAAAATTAATGATTGGTCAATAAAAGAAAGATTTTCAAAAGTTGTCATCTAATATTTTCCAGACATTAAGACATTTTAATAAAAAAATTGAAATGTAACGAGAATATTTTAAACTATTTGAATATCACAGATTTTAAAAATATGTAAACAGACTAAGTGCAGTGAGGAACAAGTTGGGAAAAACTACAAATAAATTTGAAATTTAAACAGAAGTATCAATATTATTTGTACATATTATTTATGAAAAGGATTTTATTGGATGAGCCACACTCACCAAGTGGCAAGAATAAGATTTACATAAATTTGACTATCACAGAGTTTATGTCAGAATAGACTAACCACAATGAGAAGTGGGGGGGCATTTGTACAGGTTAAAAGGTTTCTACCAACCAGGTTGACTTGTTAAAGAACTACTATCTTTTTTGATGAGTCACATATTCCCGTGGCAAGAAGTAGTCATTTCTCATGGTTATCACAGATTTTACAAGTAAACAAAAGGCATAATTGCAACAGGCATAGTGAAAAACCCTGCCCATGGTTTAGCTAATTCATTCAAGGTTAGAATCATGTAGCCATGTGTACAGGTTTGTTTGAAGAATCAAGATTTACCATACCTGCATCATTCAGAATAAGTTGCAATAAAAAGGTCAATTAACTAATACACTTATTGATCAAATCAAAATAGTGCATTTAACCTAATGAAATATTTGCCAATTTGTCAATAGTGCTGTCTGCCTATTATGAGCTTCAAGAGGTATTTTAAAGTTTAAAGCATTCAATGCCTTTACAGGCTTTTAGGATATATTGCAATATGGTTTTTACTATTTTCACTTATCAGATTAGAACCAGTTAAAGAGTTCTGCTCCATGAATTATGCAAAAGCATAACAAAAAAAAAAAAAAAAATTTAACTCACTCTAAGGAAAATGAACAAATGAAGAGAAAAATCATTGTGCAGGTGCAGAGAAATAATAAAGTTGTTGAATTCTACTAAAAACTATTCTCATCTTGAAAGTGTAATCAAGCCATTAGATATAAACTATGGCCCAATCAGTGCCTAAAAATAGTTAAACTATGAGAAACTTCACTATACAGAGATTTGACAATATGGACATAGCATGTATGCCATTTTGGAATTTGTTTCAAATTCCTAATTGAACAAATTTGTATATATACTGATCAACAGATTTGGTTTAAAATCGGACAAACATGTATTAACTTTTTTTTTAAACTGTTATTCTGAAATATAATCTTAAGACTTGTTCTATGTAGTTTTTAAAAACTCCTTTAAAAAATAATTTTGAAAAAAAATTCAAGTAAGAAAAAATAAAGTTGATATATTAAAAACATATGAGCAGAAAGACTCTTAAAACAAAATCTCAGAATATTTAGAATAAATTTGATAAAAATTAATTATAAAATCATTCTAAAATAATTTGTAAAACTATCTTCAAACATTATGATTAGGTGATTCCAAACATCTGAATTTAAGAATTTTCATTCAATTTTAGCAAAATCTCAAATTAACCCAGAAAGATTTTTTTTTAAGATCATCTCTTTTTGGTTTTCACGATTCCAGCCAATTTTTCGACAGCCTGACTCATATGTCAAACCGTAGACACATAACGAAGCAGATATTTTTTTTTTAAAGTTTAACAATTTAGCATCCATCACTATTCCTTCAATAAGCAAATAAATTTTAGTAAAAAATGTTTTAAATTCCAGTTCAGTCAAAGAATTAATGACATCAAACAATATGGTCAAAAAAGTCAATCTGCCTCCTTCTGCTTTTGCATTGTTCTTCCACTGCTTGATATATTCTTGTGTCCAGTAAAAGAACTCATTGAAGGAGAACAATTTGTGATTTGGGGAATTCATTTCTATATGATAAGAAAATAAGCTTTAAAAGAAAAATAAAGAAAAGAAGACAGTGTTGTAGCAGAGGAAAGAAGAGGAAAGAAGGAAGGAAAAAGTGTAGTGTGTTTCTGCGATGCATGGAAATACAAGCAGTATATTGATCAAGCAGTAAAGCCGAGTGGAGGTACAGATGCTGTAGAGATGAGGCTTGAGCCAGAAAGAGCTAAAAGTCAACCTCATCCTCCTTCCCGGCTGAAAATTTCATCAAGATGTAGCACGTGTCTCTTCTGTACTGACAGGACTTTCAGTTCGACTGTTTGACCTGCTACCCGAACTACAACTTGCAGAAGGAGTTAGTGCAAGTAGCCCTGAAGATGATGATGATGAAGACGACAATGGTGCTGATGATGTCAGGTTTTTAACATGGACGGTGGCCAGAGCCTCACGTTCAGGTAACTGGCTGCTATCCGGGCTTGGTGACGAGGCATGCATGTTATAAAGAGTGCTGCTGTCTGCCTTCAGACCCTGGCATTTAGCTGTTTTGCTTATTTCTAGAAGATGATCAAAACACTGTGACTTCCGTTTCAAAAGTTCCTTTTTGTGTTCTGCTTCAGCCACACGACGACGTAATTCTGGAAGAGAGAGAAAAAAATGACAAATCATGCTCGTTTTTAAAATGTTCAACACAATAGAAAAAAAATTACTGTTTGAAAAACTTTTTTAAATTGAAGGGAAAAAAAAAAAGTTTGATTTCTTATAGTATACGCATCAAGTGAAATTATATCTCCAACAGGCTGATGGCTCTCAGTAACAACACTTGCATTAACCCTTGAATTATGGGCATCATTAATTGCCATTTCATTGGAGATCAGGAAATATTCTGAATTGATGATTTAACCTCCCCGCTCCTCAATGATACAGCATTATTCTTTCATGATTTTAGTCTAAATGGCAAATTGGCAACTCTAGGATTCATGGGGTTGCAACATTTCCTGGAGTATTTACCAGCAAATAAATCCAGAAGAACATGTTTGTAGGCATAATTCTCAAAGAGAAAAGAAGGAAAAAAATGATGACAACTTCAAGGAATATCATATTGTTAGAAATATTACATTTAGAAACCAAACCTCAGTTTTCAATTTTTCTTTATTTTTATAAACTAAAAGAGTTAAAATATATCTTAATAGTTTTTGTATATAAATAAAACTAAAATAAGCATGAAACTATGCTCAAAAAAAAAAAAAAAAAGAAAAAAAAAGCAGGGGAAGGTTCATTTTCTTTTATCTGTTTGGTGTGTATATTTATGCAATTTTTTCCGTCATTTCAGGGTTAACCCTTGGCTACTGATAATCTCTCTCCTTAATTTTCTATGAATAATATACAGACTGAGTGCCAAAGTTCACTGGTATTTTAAGTAAAAATTGCCAAATTTGATGGCTTTCTGCAGTTATGTCACTCATATAAGTTTCAATCAGAACTTTGTGAGGATGTTTTTTTTTTTTTATTATTATTATTATGACAACAATCCCCAAGCAATGAAAAACATTTTGTATTATTTGGCCCGATCACATGCAACAATTATGATGGAAATTTTTCCATCTGTTTATTTCCTATGTTATCTTTTAATGTTTCACTATAAACATAATAATTAGAATAAATGAAAGTTCTGATGCACATACTTAATTTTGCCCATGATATCACAGCTTGCATAAAATGAAAAGTTCTAAATTCAGTAACTTGTCCATTACCAAAATTGCTAAAAAATTAATTCAAAGATTTATGGATTTTATAACAGACTTTAAGAAGTAGAAGGTCAATTTAACTGAATCTAAAATGATTAATAAAATATTAGAACAGTTTTCAAATTTTACTGCAACTTAATTGAAAATAAAAGGATTCTTCACAAATATTTAAATTGGAATATTCTCTTTTTCATGGATTATTTTTATGTGGAAATAAACAAATGTTACCTTCCATTTCTTTATCAAGTTTATCTTTTTGTCTCTCCATGTCAGTTTTGTGAGCTGCTAATCGATACTTGAGTTTTGCAGACAGGCCCAATTCATTCACAACTGTTGATACTTTCCGCACTTCTACAATGAAAATAAAAGAAACAAAATAGGTAAAAGTATATCATCATAACAAAAGTACATAATATCAAAGTAGATGGGGTTACACTGATGTGCAAAAAAAAAAAAAAAAAAAAATTAATTCCAAATATTTATCAAGCTTAACTTAGTCTGTCATAAGTTCACAATAGTGAATCACCAACAAGAGAGAACCTCCCTCTCAAACACAACTACTAATAAATTATTTGCAAGTATGCAAGCCATTGCTCCACACCAATTCAAGTTTAGATAACTCATTATAGCAACAGATAGATCTTAAAAAGTTATGCAATTTAAATACTCCATGTTAACACATTTAATAACAAAATGTGTTCCTTTAAGGACTCGTATGGAAAAAAATACCAAGTATGAACATTAAACAAGAAAAGCAATAACAAATTTAAGAGAAAAAAGAGGTTGAACCAAGTTAAATGATGTACCATTAATAAAATTGAATTTCCTTAAACTGATATCATCTGAAACTTTACTATAAACTGACTAAATATGCATTAGAGGAGAAGAGAGAATTTAAAATACTATGGAAAATGAAAAAATTATTATGAGAAAGATTAAGTATAATAAAGCCAGAAAATAATACTGACATAACAATGAAAGGGGGAAGAGAGAACTAATGGAAATATGAGAGAGAAATATTAACAGCATTAAAAGGGGATTTTATCAATTTCTTCTTGTACTGCATTACTTTTTAGGTAATTGACAGACAAACATGACTCATGATTGCAGTGTCCTTGTAGGAAATTATATATATATATATATATATATATATATATATATATATATATATGAGAGTTCATATTTACCATCTAGTTGACAATTGTTCCGGATTAAATTAAGTTTCAGATTATCCAAAGTCGTCTTGATTTCCCGGAAAATTTCATCTGCGAGTCCCAGTTCAATAATGCCTTTCCAGAATAATTGGCTTTCTATGAAAAATAAAATAAAACAAACTTCACGCACAAGAAACTAAGCAAAATCCATATGAATTATTCTTTAAAATTTCAGTAAAAAAGAAAAAAAAAAACGTTGGGGGAGGGGAAAAAAAAAAAAAAAATGCAACTATGATTTTTACTACAAAAAGAATCTAAATATCCTATTCCCCAACCTTCAAGATTTTATTTTTCTCTCCTAAATGTAATGTACCCCTAGGATGGAGGTAATCATGGCTCTCCACAGATTTCTTTATTATCTGTTAATTAACATGATTTCTTGAAAAAGGTAGAGGAGTGGTTTCCTGCTTCCTTCTCCTTACTTCTCAATTCAAAATTGTCCTTCTTGTAGACTGGCTGCCACCCAAGGCTAAAGAGTCCAGTTTACTCTGCAATTTAATACATGGCTGGTGGAAGAAGAAATGAATTTACACCTTTCCCAAGGGCATAAGTACAAAGTGAAAGCAATAATCTAGGCAGTTTTGATTTACAATTAATTTCAATCTACAAAGTAGTGGCTTGTCCTTCTGCTAGACTGGCTACCATCCAAGGCTAGAGAATCCAGTCTTCCCTGTCTCACTGGAGTAGAAGAAATAAATTTGTGCCCTTCCCCAGGGATTTTTAGTTCAAAGTTGATACCACAAACAAGAAGAAAATTTAACTGAATTTGCTGATTCCACTTATGCTACCAACACAACTACATGCTGCTGCTGCTTCTAATAATAATAATGGTTAGGCATAATTTAGACAAGTGATCAGACTTAATACTTTATCAATACCTGTATTTCGAAAAATTCTAAGTTAGGTTTTACAATACTTTTATAGAGAAAAAGATCCCCTTATGCAAAAAGAGAATACCTTAATATAAGTAACCATGAACAGTAAACATTTTGAATTTTGTTCCAGCCAGCAGACTTTATTTAAGACAAATACTGTTAATTGCCCATGTATAATACACATTTTTTCTTTAAAAAAAAAAAAAAAAAAAAAGAAGAAGAAATCAAAATCAGAGGTGCATATTATGCACAGCTACAAAAAACTGATGTAAAATAAAATAAAAATTATCATAAAATTAAATTAGAATAATATTATTCTATGTTTAAAACCATTTTTTAAATAAGAGTAGGAAAAGCTGGCTGTAATGAAATTGGAGAGGTACAATTTACAGGGTTTGTTTACCTGACAAGGGGTGCATATTACAGGGTTTGTTTACCAGACAAGGGGTGCATATTACAGGGTTTGTTTACCAGACAAGGGGTGCATATTACAGGGTTTGTTTACCAGACAAGGGGTGCATATTACAGGGTTTGTTTACCAGACAAGGGGTGCATATTACAGGGTTTGTTTACCAGACAAGGGGTGAGTATAAGCATTTTCCCCACACTTTCAGCGCAATTTTAGGTGTGCATATGTGGATGAAGGCGTATTATACATGGGAAATTGCGGTAGCTATTTACCAAAGAAATACTAATTTCTAAGTATATAAATTTAAAATTTAATAGAAAAAAAAAGTTCTCCAAACAGTTGCTCTTCTAATAGAAAAACACACTAAATTTAAAAGTAATAAAAATAAAATTTCTATGAAGTTTTAAATTTATGTCTATTCAGACAAGTACGCTTCGTTATTTCCGCGTGCATGGGACAAGATAAAAGGGAAATAACTCCATTTGATTTTGAAGTATTCATTCATTAAAACAACGGTCCAAGTAAATCTTCCATGTGTAGTGTCTCTTCAGGTTGTGGAGGCAATCATGCCTCTCCACAACTCCTGACCCTTTGTAGCTTCATGCAATGTCTGTCTTTTTATTATTCCTCCCCCGCCAGTTTCTAGCAAACATTTACATTAGCTCGTTAGGAGCTTAATTGTGTTTTTTTTTTCTTTCTTCTCCTTCAATATGACCTACGAGTTAAATTTTACAAGCCTTTTTTCTTCATTATGTGTCCCAGAAATTTCAACTATCTTTTTTTTTTAATTGTAAGTAGGTGTCCTTTTTGTTTACATTTTCTTAAAAATTTTGTTGTCGCTCACATGTTCAGTTCATGGTATTCTCCCATCCTTCTATTGCCTCAAGTCTCCTCTCCATCTGTGAGGAGATTGTTCAGAATACACTACCACATAGAAGGACTGATATTACATAGCAGTTCAGCACTTTCCTTTGTTTCTAATGGAATTTTCCTGTTTCTTAATTCTTTGCTTAGCTCTTGGAAGGATTCTTTTGCTATTTTGATTCAGATTTCGATGTCACATTTTTCGTCATGTTAAAATACTTCCCAGATATATAAAATTCTGTACTTGCCTGAATTTAACATCTCCAATTCCTAGCTTGCACCTCAAGCTTTTTTTTTGTGCTGAAAACTGTATTTTCTGTCTTCTTACAATTGAGGGTTAGTCCATTTGTACTGCTTTCTTTTGCTACATTGTCATCAAGATCTTGTAGGTCTCCTTACTTGGTCTGCTATCAATACAGTATCATGTATATATATCTCATGTTAAGATTGAATCAATCCAGTAAGATACATCCTTATCTTATGCCTTTTATATTTTGGGCTCAGTTACGTGCCATGTGTGACATATGCATAGATGATCATGTATCTTTTGATACATAATTGACGAGGTAGATTTTTTCTCGCAGTATGTTGCCATTTCTTTCTGCAGTAGACCATTTGCCATCCAATGCTATAGAATCCAGTATGTCCTGCTATTTACCCATAGCTGATGGGGGGGGGGAGAAGAAGAGGATTCATCCCTTTCCCAAGGGTATTAGCACGTAAATGAATGTAACAGATTTGACTGGAATTTGAACTCGGCTCTCCAATTCCTCAATCTGAACTGCTATCCATTATTCCATCATGTTGGACTATTAATTCATTTTTGTTCCCAGTCTAAGTTTTGGATTATTTGAATATCTTTCTCAAATAAATCATGTTTTCCTAATAGTTCAAATGGATCTTTGTATCATACCCTGTCAAATGCTTTTGTATAGTCTATGAAACAAGTCCTTCTGCCTTTCTACTGCCCATTTTGATATCATTTTGAACATATTACATTTCTTGTTCCAGTGTCTTTAACAAACCCCACTATTCTTGTTCTATTTCCAGTCTAATTCTGCTACATGCTCTAGTCATCAGAATTTGGATGGTAAGCTTGGTAATCTGTCTCAAGATGATTATACAATAGAACTTGCATTCCTTTGTACAATGCTATGAAAATGGATCTACTAAGGTTTTCCAGTATGTTGCTACTATCATATATTTTCTTTATTACTTCCTTAATATTGTGGATACTGAAATTATCTAAAGCTGATAATATCTTTATTACAATCACATCTGGTCCTGCTGATCTTACTTCAGACTAGTATTTCAAGTCTTTCCATATTTTTGCATATTGCAGGTTTCCTTATGACATCATAAAAGAGTTCTCCAATGTCAGTCAGTCAGTTATGTGCCATGTATGATACACACTTAACCAATCATGTATCTTTCGATACATGACTAATGAGGTAGATTTTTTTCCCACATTAGGTTAGCATCTCTTTCTGCGGTAGACCAGTTGTCATCCAAGGCTATAGAACCCAGTCTGTCCTGCTATTTACCCATAGCTGGGGCGAGAAGAAGAGGATTCATACCTTCCCCTAGGGTATATCAGCACGTAAGTGAATGTAATGGATTCAAGTGGAATTTGAACTTGGCTCTCCAATTCCTCAATCCAAAACACTATCCATTACTCCGCCTCTCTAATGTATTAATTTCATTTTTGAAGTATTTGCTTTTTTTTCTATTATGAATGTTTCTTCTTTTGATTTAATGCATCCTGTTGAAGAGCCTATCTTTTGTTCTGTTAATACTTTTATACAGACCTGTCTTATCTTTGATGCACATGTTCTATCACTGCACACTTGTTACTGCGACCAAATTTCACTCAGACAAAAATAAAGGGAGGTAAATCGCTTATTCTACTTAACTGGTTTCAATCTTATTAAAATGCAGTCATTTTCTTTCAATTTCTTTAGATCTGTAAATTTCACTTTTTAATACTGATTTTATTTTTTAAAAAAATCTGATATCATGTTAAATGGCAATACACAAAAGCTTGACAGATTAATTAAAGCATCAATATGCACACGTTACACAAGAATTTGTCTTTTGTTAAATTCAAGTCAAGCCTCAAAAATCTTATGTCTGAAATTCCAGTTACAATCAAGTAAAAAAAAAAAAAGTGTCAACCCTACATTTGAAGCTGAATAATCTTTATGTAATGTATACTATATATATATATATATATATATATATATATACATACACACACACATACATACATATATATATGTGTGTGTAAGATCACATATTCAGTATTTTTTTTTTTTTTTTTTTACTGTCACTTTATAACCCCATTTTTAGTTCAAATACAGCTCCAACCATCAGTGTGAATTAGAAATAAAAATGGTAACTTTCAATAAAACTAATATCTTTACAAGCTAAAACAGGGTTGAGACATCATTGATGAAAGGCGGACTCCAAGATATAGGATAAGAGTTCAAGTCTCATTAGTGGTTGGAGGATATTAAAACCTACAAAATTATGATGAAAGGCAACAATAACAGTGAAAAGACTAGTCAAAAAAATTTATACAAATTCTGATCCAAAAACTAGTTGTAACACTTTTGCAATGTACTTATGCTTCTAGAAACTTTTGTTTTAATCATTTAAAATCAACCAAGGCAATAAAGTCACTAAGACACAAGGGCCTAGTGAGCATGACAGACTATGAGAAAAAGAAAAACATTAACAAGAGAGAAAAATAAGAGAACACGAATTAAGACAGAAGATAAGGATTTGCATTGCATTGCATTTAAATCTTTGAAGATCAAATTTGACTGGAAAGCAAGAGGCTGGAAGAGAGTTCCGCAACCAAGAGAAAAAAACTGTTAGCATCAAACGTACAGTTACATCTTTTGACATTTCAATAGTAAAATGATGAGATCCTGCTGTCAATCTAGTACAGCCCTTAAATTCATAAATTAAATTCATAAAGTCAAGGTAGCAAAGAGGAAAACTCATCAGAACAATTATCATGAAAATATTTATAGAAAAAAAACAGGGAAGCTATATTATAGTGGTGGAAAAGTGACCAAAGCCAATATGCTAGGATTTGGATTGATAACATTGTACAGAATGAATTTTATCAAAAATCTTTAAATACTTAGCAGAAGCACCAGACCAGATGTGATGGCAATATTCAATGCATGGATAAATGGTAGACTTATAAATGTTTAAGATAGATTTGGGGAACGAAATATTGTCTAGCATGAACCAGTGAGCCAACTTGTTTTTAGCAGCAGACCTATCAATTGATTCAACGTAATCTTTCCACTTCATTTCAGCAGAAAATGTTAGCTCAAAAAGGTAAAAGGATGTTAGCCATCAGCCATGCAAATGGGAGGCATAAGAGGTTCTCTAAGACAAAAGTGCAGTTTCACTTCAGAGGCAAAATTAACAAGCCATTTCTTGTCCCAGTTTGGAGGTTATTTTTGGGATTAATTACCAATTTGACCTTATCCAACCAGCCAGACTTACCATTAAAACAGATAAGCAAAAGACATTACTTGCTTAAAAGAAGTACCCGTGAGGCAAGATGCTTAACCAATTTGAAGTTGATTTGAGCCAAAAATTGGTAGAAGATTAATAGGAAGGAAAAAAAAAAAAAAAAAACTTTATAAGAGCAGAGATTGATTTCAGTAGACAAAAGCAAAAAGAAAAATTAAAACACAAACATGCAGTTAATTATACCATAAAATATACACATCATCTGAATAATTATAATCATTCTACCTACATTATATGGCACTGGAAGCATTGAAATCAAAGAACTGGGGATTTATTCTAAAAATTAGTTTACAAAAAGAAATAGTATCCACTTCCTTATCTATCAATTTTTAAAAGAAAAACTGCAATACTCATTATAAATACCCTGATGACTATCAAAACAGGCAAAGAACATTTTGAAGCAACCTCATGTTTTCTAGAAATTGTGTGTATAAATAAACAATATAAGAAATACCACTTGACAAACACTAAACATTTTCAGGCTCTACACAATGCACCAATAGTGACTCTCAAAAGTAAATGACATTTAAATTACAATTGTTTTCAGAACAGAATAAAATCTATCAAAATCAAGTAATTTATACATTTTTTTGTATATCAATTAGTCACAAAACACCCAAGTTTTAAAACATTATTTTATTCAAATCATTAAGAAGTTTGACGAACACTACATGTTGGCTATGAGTGACTTAAAAGCTGAAAACATCTACATTAGGCAAGGCTGATTCAATTTACATGTAAATATTAAAAATCATCAATATGAGAAAGTTCACAGAACTTACCGTCAGGTGGCTGCTCATCAGAATTATCCAATGTAATCGTCTTATGTAAAACTTCCACATTTGGTTTAATGTCATGATTATAATGCCAATCGTCCCTGTTATAATACTGACTTATATACATATTTTGACTTCCTGATGCTTCAGTGTGATTCATGTTGCTTTCTTCACTGTCATAGACATAATTATTCTCCTTTAGGACAATGCCAGTTCCTGCTAGCAGAGAGGAGAATGGTGCCACAGTGCCATCATCAAATACCATTGTCTTTAAGGGAGCACGAGGAACACAACGTCCAGTGCATAGTTCTTGGTGGTTGGTGAAATCCAGCTGACCTGATTCTATATATTTTCTAAGGAAAGAGAAAAGACATTTGATAGACCCAATGAAATCAATCTCCAGACAGCAAAATTTACATTAAACAAGCAAAATTCAGTGAGACATTTCTGTATTTCAATTATTTCATAAACCAAATGCTATAAACAATTTGCATAAAGTGGATGGGTTTTGTTGGCGATTTCAAAATAAGTCATTAATACTCAATATTTTTTTTCTTCTTAAAAACATAAAATTTTCTCTATACACCAATCTGCATTTTCCTTCATTAAACTGTAACATCAATTCATTATCAATTCTAAATTTGTTTATATAGATTCATTCCAGAAAATATTTTTCTAAAGGATTTCTCTCCAGATAGAGTTTATGACATCTAGCAGAGAGGAGGAGGAGGAAAAACACTAGAGAAAGAAAATAGAATCAAATTCAATGAGTCAACAAGAAAAGCGCCAAGACTAAATTATAAATACAAATGAACAAAGGAAAGGTTTTCATGCAGACATTAAAAGAAGAAAAAAAAAAAAAAGAAAATTTTAATAAGAATTACAAAAGTATTAGAAAATTTTGAAACATGACTGACAATTCTTAACAGAAATGTAGAAATTGTTAAATTAGATGAAATTGTAGCTTCACATAGTGATAATAAAATAGTCATCTTCCTCGATCAAGTTTTGATGATTGAGTCAGCTCATTCAGTTTTTTTCCTTCCTCCTATTTTTATACCAACTACAATAATTGTGGTTTTTCCTTTTTGTCTCTTAATTATATCTGATTTATTGCTTTAACAAAATTTTATACTTCTAAGATCTTCAAATAAAAAGGATTAACCTTTTGTATCCAAAATATGAATCAACAAGAATACAGAATAGTAAAAATAAAAATATTTAAAATGCTATAATAATATAAAATACTATAATCTTAAACTGACAAGTATTCTTGAAAAAAATTATGGTGAAGAAAAATAACAGATCAGTTTACGAAAAAAAAAAAGATTTATATTATTACTGCATTAGTCGTAAGAATGCAGTCAATATTAAATAGGTGCTCAAATTTGTTATTGTTTTTTTTTCCAGCAATTCAAATATCTTTCCTACTCACAACTGCCATTCCTTTAGGGGTTTATTTGTAGAATTTTTCAAGAGATCTTTTCCGTAAATTACAATGTGTAAACATCTAAAATGTTAACCATTATCAGATATTTATGGAAAATATTTGCTAAAGACAATCATTAAAAATAACACATTTTATGAAAGTTTAATATATAGCGATGCTGTAAAAGCATTAACATATATTGCAGAATCAAATGTAGCCGAGGTGGTATCAAAAGTGAAAGGCTATTTAAAGCCAAATAACAGGACGTGCATACAGAGTGCATTAGGTATTTGAGTTGTAAGTGATCAACTTTAACTAAAAATCTTGTCTTTGGTCACTTCTTTCAGCCCTGCTATGGGAACTTTGACTAATGGATGAGGTAAAAAGGAATGCAGAGACTGAAATCTTAAATATAACCAGATGCTTCATGCTTGAGATAAGAAAAGTTTCAGGCCTGTGTGAGATTGTTGTTGAAAGCTTTGTCCTCCATCTGATAGTAAAAATAGCTTGCAGTGTGTGTGTATATGACTAACAACAAAAGGAAAACTTAGCCAGCATGTTTCATCCTTCAAGGGACTTTTTATCAGGGAAAATGTGAGGATTTTATTTTGTAACAAGTATTTATATACAAGAGCAAAAATGTTATTGGTGTTTTAAAATTTTTTGAGTTTAGGAATGCTCAAATATTCATCAGTTTAGCTGAAAAGTCAGGCAAACTTTGCAGGTCACAATGTGACACATTTCAATGTCTAATAAATTAAAGTGAGTAACTGATGTCTTTGAAATTTGTTTTTTTTAAAACACATTGGCTAAGTTTTCCTTTTGTCTTTATTCATATTCTCCTTTTACAGATAGATTCTATATGAATTTTTTTTTCCATAGACACATGCACACATGTATGTGTGTGTGCGATAAAAATATTTTTAAGGTATACTGTATTTATGGGTTAAAGTGCTCAATATCAGAGATAGAGCATATGTAAACAAGTGGACACTGAAGTCAACATGCAGCAGAAATAAGAAAGCTTTGACATTTTAAGAAACTCTATAATGTAAATATATGAGCTCTGATCAAAAAATATCAGAACTGTGAATATAAAAAGAAAACTACAACACATCAATTCAGCATTTAATGTCTTTCAAAGTAGTTCCCTTCTGAAGCCACACCCTTTATTCAGTATTGTTTCCATTGATGGAAACATTCCTGGAACTCCTTTTTTGGGATAGTAAGCAGATGACTCATCACATTCTTTTGGATTTCCTCAACATCTTGAAATTTGGTTCAAGTGGGATGTGATTTGTGAAGAAGAAGAAGAAGAAGAAGAAGAAGAAGAAGAAGAAGAAGAAAGTGATATTTAGCTACCCCCCACGGGGTTTCATGTGGCACAAGGCCGGGTTTAACGTGGGATCTCAGAGCCTGTAGTCTCGGCCAAATATATTCCATCGTTGAACCCGCATAAACAGGTTCAAGGGCAGTCAACCACCCTGAACAAGACTGCCCTTTGGCGGAGCCTCGTCCGGGTTCCTCTCCGCCTGAAGGCAGAGAGACTGTAGCCAAGTTAAAAAGTTGTCGCAAGGAGCAAGATCTGGGGTATATTGTGGTTGTTAGACTTGGGGAATGTTGTGTCTTGCCAGAAACTGCTGTACAATTCATGGTCACTGATGGAACCTCTGTGGTGTCGTGAGATGATCACATGCTACACACTTTCCTTCCAAGTACTGCTATAAACAATGGTAGTGAGCAAGAACATTACATGCATTTATGCATGACAGAGTTTGTGGTCAAGCTGTACCAAGTGGCTTCACTCTGCATACTTTAGCTGTTACCATCGCAACAGTCCCAATGCTTTTTGATCAGACCCATATATGTATTGAATGCAAGTGACATCATGTGCAGAAAGCTTTGTATCTTTAGAAAAATTTGTCATTTGCTTTCCAATGAGATGGTTTGGAAAAGAAAAAAAATTGTCTGTGGTTACTCAGTTCTTTATAAAATACTATGTGTGAAGAAATTATTTTAGCGAACCTTTGCATTATTCATTAGTATTACTTCCCTTTCTAATGTATATGGCAGTCCTTCCACTGACTGTAGTATAGGTCTTGATTTCAATCAAGGTTGTTTTTGCAGTTGCAGGACATAACACAACTGCATACTATTGTTTGAAGTTGCTCGAAAAAAGGGGACAAACATTTTTATCGGCAAACAAAGTCACCAATAGAGGGCTAAGTGTTAACTGATCATATTTACAGCAGCTACGCGAGAACAGTCACTTTGATAAGTAAAATTAACTTTAAAGAATTTTAGGCAATAAACAACACAAACATAAAACATCATGAATTTGTTCCATTATAGATGCATCTTAAATATAATCAAGGTGAAAAAGCTATTAAAAATATGAATTTGTAGGCACATATCACTTAATGCTTGTAATAAATCCAAGATTTAACATTATATACCTCATTGTTAATATTAACACAGGACTTCAAAAATCACTCATGCAAAAACAATGTTGTTTATGAATTTTCATATGGAAAGCACTTAATTCATACATTGGTCACACAACTTAGGGCAATTCATAAACATATTGATAAACACACAAAACCATAACATGGCTATTATTACAAGTACTTTTTTAAAGTTTTTTTTTTTTTTTTACTTTAAAAGGACAAGTAATGGGGTTGAAAAAAAAAAAAAAAAAAATTTTGATTTGGATGTTCAACAGCTTATAACACAAGCTGGAAAATGTAATAAAAAAAAAAAAAAAAAAAAGGGAGGGGGGGGATCCCTTCTTGGCTGAGTTGAGAACTTTTCATTGTATGCTAACCCAAGGTTTCTTTTTGTTTTGTTTTTTTATTTAAATTTTGAAACATCCATGAAAGAGTAAATCTGCTCAGAACACATTGAGAGAGAGAGAGAGAGAATATTTACCTCAGCTGGATGCCATTCATTCGAACAGCATTTTTCCAGTCTTTCAGCTTTTCCTTTTCACCCATCACAGAAAAAAGTTTGGGGGATATAAAACGGCCATCAAACTCTATACATTCACGATGAATGCCTGGGCAAATGAATTTATCCATGTGTAGTTTGCCAACTAAGTTTCCACAAGTTACTGTTATGATCCCTGCACTGTCTTCAGCCATCTGAAATAAGAGCAAAGCAAAGAAAAAAATGTTAGTCAATTATCTTAACATGTTACTCAATTCCTGCAGTCCAATTTATTCTAGCTATACTTTGAGATAAAAATAAACACAGACTTTGTTAAAGCTGGTTTTTTTTGGCTGCAATTGGAAATAACAATATGGTTATATATATATATATATATATATATATATATATATATATATATATATATATATATATATACACAATTATCAACAAAAATAGAATCAAAATTAGTTACAGCTGCATGGATTACATGGAGAAAATAACTAAGCACAATAAAAAATACTCAACAATAACACACAGCAAAATGATATCATTAAATGTAATTGTAGAAAAAGAAAATTGCCCACTTAATAAATGCTTAACCAATAACATAATATACAAAGTCAATATAATAAAATTATCACAGGTGAAAAAAATTTACATACGGGCCACAGAAAAAAAAAAAACATTTTTTAATTTTTGCTTCTTTGATTAATTTAATGTACGTCATATTTGATTGGTGGATCAGAGTAAAGCCCACAAACCTTATAACACCCATTTTTTTTGTAAAATGAGTTTATATTTTGCTTTTAAATCTAAATAAATTGTTCACTTGCCATTAATTTGCAATCGCCTGATGTGATGCATTGAAACACAACTGCAATTGTGTAGCGATTTTGACATGTTTCCAGTGTAACATACATATATATATATATATATATATATATATATATATATATATATATTATATATATATATATATATAAAAACGACAACTAATATGTTACTGCAATTAAGCATTTTATTTTTCTTGTGTTCATACGAGTGTTTTCTTTTTTGGATATAAAGTGTGTAAAAATTGTCCAAATCTTTTATATAACTGAGCACTTTCATCTATTCTATTAGCCATTATCAAAGAGGTATTTTTTTTTTATTTTCAAAACTGAATGTGTTATTTTATTTTCATTATTATGTTTCTAGAGTGATGGGAATTTTTATTTTATTTTCCAAACATGGTCAGCACATAGTGGCCATGTTCATAGTTGATATTGCTGAATGTTTGCTTTTTCATTATTAGTGCTTCCATTATTCCTCGTCTTTTTCCCCATGTGGATGAAGTTATTATACTTGTATTGTCTACAAGTTTGTTGCAGATTTTTACACACTTTAATACTCATCACACAAGAAAAATTAAATAAAAAGGTTAATCGTAGTATCTTATCAGTCATATTTAGTGAAACTTGTATAAAAGAAGGATTGCTGCCCAAATAGACAAGATTATATAGAGGACAGTAATTCTAATTCAAAATGTGCAGGAAAAAAAAAAATCAAGTTGACATACCTAGACAGATTTGCTAAAACGTTTTTTCGCAATCATTTATGAAAAAGACAGAAGGAAGGAATAGATAACACTAACTACAGGTTGACAATAAACTTATTTCAATGTAAAAAGATTTTAATCATTAAAATCTTTTAAAATTTAATGCGCAAGAAAAGTTTCTCAAGGTTTGTTGATTTTCTTTAATATTTTCAAAATTCAAGCACAATCCTAAAAACAAAACTGAAAGCATAGGATAGGATATTTTAAAAAATTTACTATTATTTATTGCATAGATTCTGTATTTGTGTTTGAGTAATAATTGCAGTCAAGTCAACTTATGCAGTTAAAGTTCTTATACATTTAGTTTACATTACGAGAAGACAATACACCAATTCAATAATGAATTATTTATTTACTTACCATAAGCATATTTTCTTCAATAAGAAGATGCACCTAAATGGCTTCATATACTCATATTGCAATTTAAACTAACCTTTTTTTTTCTTTTTTAAAAAAAAAAATAAAAAAATTTCTTATTCCTGGCTCTTTGGTTGGGATCAGCTCTCTTGTATTTCGAGCAAGATAGAGCACAAAAGCAAATGTTCCTGGTCCCTGGAGATTCCAACTCCGGGGGAGCACCTCCCCATCGCACTAAAAATGAGTGTCGTAGATCGTTCTGACATGTTCCCCTCGACTCCCACATTAAATCTGTGTCAAATTTGCTCTCGTGGGGAGGCGAATAAATCCCAACTTGAACTATCATAATCTCTAAAAAATACAAGGGTCATTTTAATTAAAAAAGTAACAAAGTTTTATCTTCAGGTAATGGTAAATTACGTAAAGGATATTTTTTAACAAAGACTAGTAAATCGATCGTCAAACATGGGATGTGGAAGAGATTCTCTATCCAGTGGATGGTTGTTGGTCTGTGTTCAGATATATTTACATACGTGTAAAATCAAATATAAACAACGAGTCAAGAAGAGTCATAAAGAGAAATAAATAAGGATTTTTTTTTTTATTTAAACTTTCTTTCCAGAACAAGTGCTTGTTCAAACACCTTTCATAAGAAGACATTCTTTTTTTTTTAAAGCATGGACATCATCTGCGTTATAAAAGCAAACTTACAGTTAAAAAAAATTAAAAAAATGAATTATTAATTATTTGCAGTTTTCTTCCACGAAAATAAAAATGTAGAAGAAACATTAAAAAAAACAACTAAAAAATAATTCTCAAGTTTCGCATTGACACAAAACGTATAGGAAAAGAAAAATGAAATTTTTACATATAAAAGTTAATTTTAAGTTGAGTAAAAAAAAAGTTGAAGATATTTTGGAGTCATTTTAAAATCTTTTTTTTTAAAAAAAGAGCAAGATGATTTTTTTTTTATGAATTTTGATGGGAGCCTTCAGTTCTGTTCACTCTTCTTAAATGAAAACAAGTTTACGTGATGTTTAATTAAAAAAAAGGCAACATGTTAAAAAATATATAAAAAGTATGTTTACAAAATATTAAAATGCAAAAATTAGGTAAATAATTAAAATTAGGCAAATAATTAACTTATTGTTTTTCTTTTTCAATTGTTGACAAACGAATACAAGATCCAAATATCAGATTAAGAAGCGGGCATTGAAATTGGATTTCACTTTCGTAATTAATTTCAACTTTACCTTAAAAAAAGTCTATAGGAATTTTTAGGTTCATGCCATCATTTAATCAAGAACACAAGAGTAGTTGGACAGAAAAGAAGACCTTTTTTTTAATATTTTAAAAGGAAAATTTGCTCTTATTTTGACAAAAATTATCAATAAAAACGAGAAACGGATTTATTAGGACAACAATTCGTTTTGTAAAGGAGAACGAGAAGAAAGAAATGACTTCAAACGAGTTCAGAAGTTTTACACGAAATATTTAAAGTAACATTATTACACGATGCCTGCAAGTTGCCTTTTTTTAGTTAAAAAGAAGCGAATAAGTTTATTAATTAGAAAATAGAAAATATATTTACGTACCTTTTTCAAGAAGACGTTATTAAGGAAAAAGTTCAACAGTTCAGAAGAAAACAAGTTGTACTGTTGTCATAAAAATAAAAACATTTCTCTACAACAAACTGCATACAGATTTAAAACGGGATTCATTTGGAAAGACAAATTAAAAATAGTGTTTACAATTATTTCTTGGATGAGATTCACAAGTGCTTGAGATGTCTCATAAAAATTAATTAAAATTAAAAAAAATAAAGGGGAGAAAAATCAGTCTTTTTAGTCAAGTTAAAAGACATTTTCCTTTCTTGTCTAGGACTTTTTTTTTCCTTTCTTTTTTTTTGAGGGGGGGGATTTTTTTTTTTAAACATTCAAAAAAATAAAAAATAAAGCGAAGGTAAGAAAAAATAATAACGATGTTTTATACAGAAAGAAAAAGAAAAGAAACTAAAAAAAAAAAGAGAAGTAAAACGAACGTCTTCGCCGGAAGAAGAGTGTTGAAGAAAAAGAAAAGAAAACGACGGAGAAGAAGAAGAAGAGAACAAGAAAGAAGAAGAGAACAAGAAAGAAGAAGAAGAAGAAAAAGTTACGGCGGCGGCGGTGAACAAATATGGACGTCGCTCGCCGTAGACAAAAACGGAAACGGGCGTTCATTCGCCTATGACGTCATCGACGTTGACGTCACGTTACTCTTTTTCTATCTATATCTCTAATGGCCACTATAGATTTTCTTTACCTTTGCAATCCCTTTCCACACTTCCGTCGCAATTTTCTCATCTTTCTTTTTACTTTATTTAATCCTTTTTACAATGTTGTACTCACTTTTTTTATCATTTATAAAAATGTATTTCTTTTTTTTTCTCCTCTCACTTAATTCACTCTTTCTCTCACTTCCTGTTTTCTCTCTTCTTTCAGTCTGTCATGATTTCTCTCCCTTCCTGTTTTTTTTTTTTACCTTATATAACTTTCAAACTCCTTTGGTTTTTTTTTTTCCTCTCCCTTCTGATTATTATGCCAATATATTTCTTCTTTTACTTTAAATGTTCTCGAAGCTTAATAAAATGGCACAAGAATGTGCTGTCTGCTTTTAAAAAAAAAAAAAAAAAGAGAGAATTTGAAATTCTACCTTTACCTGGGCTCGAACACCGGACCTTTGGGCACCGGTGTGAGGTGGAAAATATAATTTTCAGCTGCAAAGCAGGCTAATTCCTTTAGGTTTCTTTTCCCCTGTCTCTACTTATGTTCCTTTTTTTCTTTTTCTTTTTTAATTTTATTTTCCCATCCGCTTTCTCAAGCCTACTCGTTCTGATCGCCTTTATTGCGCTCAACCCACGTTTCCAGCTTTATTCAGTTTTGTTTTTGGTTGTTGTTGTTCTGTTTCATGTTTTTGAGCGCGTGCTGATCCCACGTGACTTGTTTCACGTGATTCACGTGGGTGGTTTGTAAAATCGAACAAATAAAAGGTGAAATAAAATAAGTAATTTTTAAAGAAGTAAAAAAACACAATATAATGATTAAAGAGAAAACAAAACAATAAATGTGTATATTTTTAAAAATCGATATGAATAATTACTGCGGATAAAGAGTGACTAAAAAGATCGAATGCACTCGTTTGCTTGCCTCACTAGCCTCGATTTGAACCAAGCAAGATAATCGAAGCTCATCATTGTTCCTGCTTGAGGCATTTGGTTGCACTTTTTATTTTTATTCATTCATTTTTTGCTTAATAATAAAAAAAACAAGCTTTTTTTTTTTATTTCTGAACGGCAAAGCGAAAATAGTACAACAAAACAAAAGACTATTTTTTTTAATTTTCTTTTTGAATGTCAGATTATTGCTTTTTAGTTTTTTTGTTTGTTGATTTTTTTATGTAATGAAGGCGCTTTAAAAATAACTTCATTTTTTTAAAAATAAAAATATACTCGTATAGATTTTAAATAATGAATGGCTAAAAAAACAAACAAAAAACAAAAACTTGAATTTAATCTAAAAATCTTATTTCCCTGTCTGTCAGTATACTACACAGACTACAATCCATAAGCCGTCGGACCACATGTTGAATAAACATCACTTCTTAATCAAAATATAACAAAATGAAATAATAATAATCATAATCATCATCAATCATTTTTATATTGTAGCTCCGACTGCAAATACTCAACAGTACAACGGAATGGCAAAAAATATGGAAAATATTTTGAATACAAAAACTTCAGCTTTCATTTTGTTTTTTTTACCTCAAAATGTCAAGCTAATAAAAATTAAAAATTGTAGTTTTTACTTTTGGTCGCACTAATTTAAAAAAAAAAAAAATGAATTACCACCATGGACTTCCAAAAAAAAAAAATTGCATTTAAAATAATCTAAATGTTTCTTTGAAGTTAAATTTTGATTTTGTTTGAAATATAATGACCTAAGGTAGTTAACCTGTACTAAAAAGAAAAAGAAATTTATGTATGTAAATAAAGATTTTAGACATTTTTTAAATATTGGCAAGGTTACTCTTTAGCTTTCTGCTACCCCTTTCTTTCAATATCAATTTTTGTACAGACTAAACATCAAAGTGGATCACAAGAGCCTTGATATTTCTTTGACTCCTGATTGGTCAATTAATGCCAATATCATACTTTCATCTACATCCTCATGGTTAAAATTAATTTACCGCCAAAATCTGTCTATGTGTTTTGAGCCTATCATGTGGTACACATTAATTATAAATACTTAGCAGCATCTTCAACTCTTCCTCTTTTGCCTTCTCTCACACACAAGATGTAGCAGTGGAGAGATTATGTCTATCCTTTATGGGAAGACACTATGACACACACACATGTGCGCAAACACGTCTGTACGAACATTGCACATCTCTTAACTCATCTTATTCACTCCTTCAACTACAAGCAACAGACTTATCAACTTCTAACAGTGAGCTTTGTGGCATCAAACAATTCGTCAAATTCACACCATTCAAATCTTTGAAGTTTCCAAGTTAGATTTCCTAACACAATCCCAAACTTTGAATTCACTCACTCACTCACTCACTCACTCACTCACTCACTCACTCACTCACTCACTCAACAATAAACTACACTTCGATTTTAACATCTACGATTTTTATCGAGACAACAAGAATTCTACTCAAAGAACATACAGTTTGCCAAACAAACATTTTATTCAAAAAACAACTTTGAACATAACCTAAAGCAAACTTCAAGTCAACTATCTTACAGCCAAAAGATTCTTAATATTTAGTGCACAATTTACTTAAAAGTTATAAGCTAGAAAATTTATCTTTTAAACACAAAATTCAACTTTTGATATCAACCAACATTTCATTTACCAATTTCAATTACAACAAACTTTCCGGGAAGAACACAACTTACTTTTTTCAAAAGACTTTACTCATTTGTTGAATCAACTTTATTCACATAATATTTAAACTTCCATCTTTTTATCTTTCACTAACAAGAAATATTTACATTATGGACACATGGCACAGTGGATAAAGGCATTGGTTAGATCCAGTGACAGGACCCAAAGAGTGTGAGTTCAATACCCGGTTAAGGCAGTGGAGAACTTGGCATCCATTAAACATGGCACATGAAACTAGAACACTTTACCCCAGTGAGCGAAATAAAGGGTTCAGTTCGACATTCCAACCACCTGAAGAAAGCCGGAGTGTACAACAGCTGAAACATTGTAATAAATATGGCGACAAAGATGAGGACAATAGTCTGAATAATGTAAATAGTGTACATAATACCTCATCTCAGAAATATAGACAGATACCAAAAATATATTCAACAGGTAAAAGGAGATAACTCTTACCTAATCTCCAATACCAAACTATGACAAATTTACGATGTAAAATATTATTTAACTGATTAATTCTTTGAAAATCCTTTTACTGATAAGAACATTGAACAAATTCTATCTGTCCTGAAGAACATTCTCATCCTCATGTTGTATATATTTGTTATATAAATACTTTATACTTGTTTTTCTAAGAAGGAATATTGTTTGTTTTATATTTTGTTGTTGATGACCTTGTGCCCTACCCAAAGTTTGTGGAGAAGTTTATTTTCATGCAGCCAACACAAATAATATCTTCTGATATCTGCATATTTTTCCTAATAACCAACTCCTCTGCAATAAATAATTCAAAAAATGAAAACAACAAATTTAGAAATCTCTTAAAAATCAAATATTTGTCATAGAGATTTGTTTCAAAGTAAATTAGTAAATTTAGGGATTAATTAACTGAATTTTAAAAGTAACAGCTAATTTTGCTTAGAACATAGCAAAAATAACATTTATCACCTGAGTAAGCAAACCCTAGTCTGTGTGGGTAGATTGTTCTAATTCCACATACCATGCCTTTGGATATCTCAGTTTTAGTAAAACGTTTTTGTTCTCTCCACTGAGGTCAGGGACTGAACTCACAATTCTGTGTGTCAAATGTTGTGAGTTCAAGCCTTAATTAAAACTAGTTATGTTTTTATGAATATATTTTTTTTTTATTCTATACACTTCTTTGAAAGTTAGAATTAATAATTTTATTTTTTTATCCTACATTAGATCTATAAAAAAAGAAATTAATTCAAAAATATTCTGTTATGGTGAATTAATCCCTATTATCAGCCCTTGTCACTAATCAATAAAGAGTTGTCCCACCTTTACTTCATGATGTAAAAAAAGGCTGCAGGCCATATTGAATAAAGCTACATTAGACCCTATCAGCTAACTCCGTGTTGATAATTTGATATAACATAGTTTAATGATACTTTTTTTGAGTATAATTCATTGATTTTATCTTTTCATTTGTTTCATTTCATAACACAAATGAAAACTTTTTCAGTTATTGTGATTTTAAAATTTATGAACTAAAAGTGCTGCTACAAACATTTATTGAATTGTTAATGTTGATTGATTATTTCCTTTTTGAACTTCCATGCAAAATAAATTAGCAGTTATAAAAATGAAAAAATAAAATTCTTTTAAAAAAGATTCACACTCGAAAATGGCATTAAACTTTACATTTTTTGATTCTTCAAACATGTCTTCATTTAATAAAAAATAAACTTTTGAACAGCATTGGAATGAACTGTACTGAAAAATTACAAGTCATTTTTTTTTAAATAAATATTCAGTGTAGTTTTTTTTCTGTCAAAATCTGAAAAAGAATGTTTTATTAAATTATACAAGCACCAAGTTTCAACAAAAAATATTATTTTTTGAGTTTTATTGAATTATTTTCGGTAAAATTTTTGAGAAATTTTCAGTATATTCACACTTGATATTGCATAATTTTTTTACTGAAATAACATCTTCAGGGATTTTTCTTTATATAATAATAGAAAAATTTTGTGAACAGCCCCAAATTAAAAAATACACATATATTGAAATATGGAGGTGCAACTGATCCCCAAAGGACATTTCCACAGATTTTTAATAAAATATCATATTTAGTATACTGAGGAAGGTCTTTGACCTCACTTCCACTGCATCATAAAGTGAGCAAAAATCAGAATGGATGATAGCATAAACAGGAAATGGGTAAAATAAACAGGATGCACAGGTGTCTTGAACAGGGTGCAAATGTGTCCTAGCAGAGGGAAATGCATACTTGCATGGGCACATGTTGGAAGAGACATGGCTGCACGAAGTTGCCTGGGCACATGGTCAGAAGAGGCAGAGCCACAAGAAGTTGCATAAATGACATACTGGAAGAAGATGTAGCTACCTGAAGTTGTGTGGGTGTTCAAATGTTATAAAAACGGCCCAACTCTTGGCCTGAGAAAGAGCCTGGCTAGAGTTTCACCAAAGATTTGTCTCCATCAATTTCTGTGTGCTGCAATTTGAATAATAAAACTATATATTGTTATATTTAAGTGTTTGTCACTTTATTTGAATCCAGTAGCAATATACAACAATACAATTCATTTGTTAATGCATAACTACTGAAAATTTTGTTTAAATTGAATAATTTTCTGATTTTTTAAAATGGAGTAGTATTTTCCTTTTGCTTTATTTTAGCAAAAAGGCACCCATTTTGGTGGTTCCTATTAAAAAATTCAATTTGGTATAGTTGTCGGGTTACCTCCACCTAATTTTTGAAACTGCTACTAGGGGACACTCTCAGAACTATAAATACTCAGCAATATTTTTTCTCGCTCTTCTTACTTTTCCCACTTGCACAACAACATATAAACCTCTTGTGTAGAAACACATTCCCTTTGGAAAACACATGAACAATATATACACACACACGTACATATGCACATTCACTCACTACACATACTTTGGACCATTAAGTTTTCACATTCATTTGACACACACATCTTTGTGTCACTTGTAACCATTTATTGTTAATACATTATCATTTGTTGTACTTATATATTGGTTCTTGTTCTTTCTTTACACTTCTTTACATGGACTCACATCCTGAGTGTGCCATGTTTGTTATGGGTATTTTCAGGTGACACACATGCTTATCTCTCAACGCATACACCTGCCCACAACATATTTTAGATCAAATTAGAAATCTGAGGTTAATTTATAAATATTTTATTTCAACTTTAGAATTCCTTTTTGAGTAGTTTTATGCTTCAGATTGTGTAAGGTTTAAAGTTTCAAACAAAGGACAAAACAGTGAAATAGAAAGATAACTCTCCTTTAGAGAGATGAATGACCAAATGGACAGTAAATTGGCGATTATCAAGTTCTTCTCTTACCACTGTCATAAGTTTAATTCTGTAATGGCAACCTTAACAAGAAAAAAAGGGGAAGTGACAAAACAACAAACGGAGATAAGATGTAGTTGAGATAAGTAACAGGGTTTCTTATTTCCCAAGTTTTACAAGATTCGATCATTTGATTATTCTGGAATATTATATTCCATTCATAGGAGACAGTTCAGTCAGAGCATAACACAAAGTAGTAATTCAGATAGACATGTAGAGAAAATCAACATGCATATGTAATCAAGTAAGATAGACAAGTGGAAAAATAGTTCACAAATTATCATATTGTAGTCATCTAGAGTCTTTGCTGCTGCTGGTTTTGTTGCTGACCAAAGGTATTACAATTGATGTCACTACTGATGGCCTGGTTAACCCTAGCTGCCATGGGGTTTGTCACTAATGGCAGCCTGGTCAAATCTACCTTTGTGAAAGAAATTAATGTTGGCTTTATAGTGAGTCAGCATCTCAGAAACTGCTGCTGCAAAAATTGCATGGGATTTTTCTTATTCGTCAGAAAAGATGTTTTATGACCCTGGTATTTTTTAATGGTATTCCAGAAGTATATGTGTGGAGCCAAACAAGATTAAGGTCTGTTTTTGTCATATGTACTGTGGACGTCGAAGTGAGCATTTCCATTTGAGTTAAAGATTTGGATACAACAATAATTTTACTGATTTACTGCCATGGCATTGTATTCATAAAAAATAAATAAAAATTAATTATAGTGTCAAAAATATAATTATAATAAAATAATTATAATTATCATTAATTCACTCATTCTAAACCAATGAGAATCAATACCACTTTATCCTCTACATGGACAAGCATGTGACGTTCTCACTATCAGACAAGCAGTACACACAAACAGGTTGTTAACACGTACATCAACAAAAATTTCATTTCCTTTTTCAGGCCATAATAATAACATTTATTTTTAATACTCAAAATCAAGCTAAGAAAACTCTAGACACTTGTATTTTCTAACTAAATTATCTGGACACTCATTACACACATCAATAAAAAAAAATATACAAGAAAGACTGTATACACTTTACTTATTCTTTATCTTTCTATTCTTTTATCATTCTGTCAGATTTGACCCCAAACTTATAATTTTACTTAATATTTGCTGTTTCTTGTGTCTCCAACACCACATAACCAGATAATAAGTAATACTCATTTTGTTGTTTCCATGTTTTGCTGTTCCTCTGTTCCTATTTATGTGTATTTTTGTATATATAAATGTTAGAGGGTTTATAATTACTTAATCCAAGTTATAACTCCCCAGAAGTATATCTGTGGATTAAACATTATTGTTAGTTATTGAGTATTTGTTTTCAAGCATTTCAGCTTATTAATGGTTTTATGATTTTGTTTTAAAAGTAAAATAAACTGACAGTATTAAAAATTTTAAACCCATGTCTGCTTCTCAGCACAAATCTTTTGCAATAAAATTTATGCCAGCGTAAATTGAAAATAAATTTACCTATTTATTAATATTCTTTTTATATATTTGTGATGAAATGTATCTAAAAAAAGTAAATAGAGGTGACCAAATATAATTAGTTTTTATTAATGATTCATCTTTAAAGCTTTCACTTAGTAAGGTCATAATCTAATGATGAAAAATTATTACTTTACACAATAAATCTCAACATAATCTCCTTCTTTATCAATTCACTAAAATTTAATGGAGAATATTAATGACATAAAATAAATATAAGTGGAAATTTCAAATCAAAATCCAACTAAAAACTTGTGGAATCTTCCACATTAGCCTTCGGAAAGATATATTCTTCCCTAAAAGAAAGCCTTAACCAATCACCTAAACTGTAGTAAAGTCAAAACAGATCCTTTTTCCCGCCGAAGCTCCCTGGAGCCGATTTTTAGACACCAAAGTCTATATAAACAGCTGCATGACCCAATTCAAGTCAGTCAGTTGTCTAGTTTCGTGAGATGCTACCAAACTCCATGCGTGTCAGTTCATTGACTCATCATCACTTCAAAATTCTCAACAAACTCAACACAGCACTCAATTAACCATTGTCCGCATGGTAATCAAATTACAATTGACTTAAAAAGTGAACATTTTCACTACACAAACAGTAATAATTGAACACGTTTGAGATTTTTCCTTGCAGAAACCAAATTATTTTAATTTCACTAACAAATCAAAACCATTAACTTTTATTGACCAAATTTCTGCATGAACATTCTTCATAACCTTGTCTCAATTGCAACAATCAACAAATATTCTGTTATCCTTGCATGTATATCTATTGTATATATAAAAATCTCTTTATTGTTGGATCTCTAACCACTGTGTTTTTAGCAAATTGTCCTTATATTCTTTATTTGATCTACGTGTTGTGGGATAATGCATAACAAGCATGCATAATCTTTGCCTTACATAAATTACCTTCTGATACATTTTCACTCAGCTACAACCTGCAACAAACTATATTTCAAGCTATGGACTTATTTATCTACCCTGATAAGTTAAAATTAAAGTAAAGACTAGTTTTCTGATTGATTTGTTTTTTTATGGCATATCAACCCTTTGTGGGTTATTTAAAGGAAAAGTATATTTTGGATTGTAAGAATAATTCTTTATTTTTTTACAAGTGAATATTGTATAACAATAATTCTTTGGAGTTAACAATGATTTTTTCAGATACCAATTCTTCTTTTTAACTCATAGTTAGGGGAGAAAGGTATTTACATATAAATGAATAGAATGAACTTGATTGGAATTTGAACTCGGCTTTCTGATTTTTTATTAAGAGCCACTTAGTCATTACATCACCTGCACATCTAAAGCAAAGATTAGGAGACGTGTATAAATTTTAGTTAATCACTTTGTCAATAATGTAATTTAAAAATTTTAGTAACTTTTTTTTATGTGAATGGATTCAAGTGATATTTCTTGGTTTACAGCTTATTAATTCAAGCTACCATATTTTATTCTTAGTTTTTACATGTAATATCATTGAATCTATCTAAAACTGCTCTCAAGCCCAGCAACTCTGATAGTAAAGCACATTTTGAATCTGTCACCATTACTTTGTGTATCTGCCACTAGATTTCTTCAGTTCATTTTCAAATCACCGTTTGAGCCAATATTTAATAGTTTATTGACTGTTTTGACTAATTTTACAAAGTATCCTCTCAAACTTTTTCATTTTATCATTTTATATGGTAAATAGTTTTATATTAAACCTAACACCTGTCTCCGTCTCTACTGAGAGAAAAATACACTGTCTCAGTTTTAAGCAAACCTACAAGTCTGAATACCATGTTTAAGAAGGGCGTTACAATGGAATTTCATGAATTCAGCTATCACTAATCCATAAATCTTCATTTTTGTTCAACTATAGTAGTTGTTACTACTAAGTTCTTTGCTTTTTCATTTTTTTTTCTTCTCTTATATAGCCTGGTACCATTCTTAGGTACATAAAATAACAAGGGAGATAACTCAGTGATTAATGAGAGTTACCTTCTCTTGTAGCCGGAAGTAGATTTTTCACTCAGACAAGAATTGTACACTAAGCCATTATTTCCTAAATGGAAATTAATTTAATTTGTTTTTAAAAGTAAATGGAATAGATAAAAACGATGTGTCCCAGTCTATTTTTGTTGCAGTGATCACGTGAGTTTGGAATTTTCTTTAAATTGTTACTAAATATTTTGATTGCTACAAAAAAAAAAAAATGTTTCTTATGTTGTTATTCATTACAAGAAAAAAAAATTGAAGTGAACAGATTTTTAAATTAATGCTTCATCCTGTGTTATTATGTGGTTAATTTTGTTTTATTTGCAAACGTGTCATTCAGTTAATATTTTTTAAAGTTACAAATGTTTCCGACTGAATAGAAAAAATTCAGAAACATGCTTTTTATTTTCTTTATTTTAAACTTTTTGGTAAGACATTTTAAAAGATCTTGCTCTCAAATTTAATTTGACAGTTTATCCAACTAATTATTAAATATTGTTGTGGATTTAATAAATAACATATTTACCGACTGTCTTCATTCAAAACAAGCGATTCTATTATTGATTGTTAGAGGAATCAAGGAAAGTCAAGAAACCAATTTTGCGTTTAAACAGAAATTCACAGATATTTTAATTTAAATTATTACTTTTTTTTCTTTTAACTGTCTGTGTTGTAAAAAAAAATTAAAGTAAAAAAATGGTTGAAAAGTTTACTCCTTCAACAATCTCGTCCTTCGAAACACTAATCGGACGATTTTAAATCGTCCGAAACGAAAAAATAATATTGCAAATGTTCAAATAAATAACATGTTTTTAAAGATACGACGTCAAAAAATTATCAAATATTCAAAAAATTCATGTCTTCTTAGCCATAGTAAATTGAATTAAAGAGCTCTCAACTCTATAACAAAAACAATAGATGTAGTCGATTTTAACGTTTCAAACGATTTCTACTGGTTAAATACGTATTTACTTTTTTTACTCTCACTCATATTTAGAATATGTTTGTTAGTTAATCTGAATAAGTGTCAAAAAAAAAAAAGAAGTCATTAGCAACTGCAAATGACGGACGTTCAAAGCTGTGTTTTTCTTCAATAAATGTTTATTTTTTTAATTTATTTTGTTCATTTTTTTTTTTTAAATTTACTTATACAGTTTTCCTGAGCATCATAAAGTGAATGTTACTTCTTAATATCTGATAAGAATACAAGACTAAATTTTTCATTCATAAAAAAAGTTGTTTGTTTACTTCTGGACTCCATCAAATAAACACTGGCGAAATCGAGGTTATATATTTATTTAGGTTTTCAAATGTTCGATCTTCTTGTAAGGATGTAAGGGATTCTGTTTTTCTCCTAGTGTTTAAGTTACTGTTATTTGGGTGTCTTGTGTGTGTGTGTATGTATTTCAGGGGTTTACCTGGATTCACGTTCTTGTTTAGTGCATCTCTACTTCTACTGACATTCTGCACTTGGTGGCATTAAGGTTACTTTCTAGATCAACACTTGAGACTCTTTGAGACTCCAAGGAATGTGAAGGAGTTACCCATACCCACTGAGGAGTATTAGTGGGAGATGGTAATAAGAGAAAGTGGGAGTTATGGGGTGGATTAATGCCTGTAACCATCACTTGTAGAAGAGGCGAATCCCTCCCACAAAAAAAAATTATGAAGTAATTTAATTCTCAGGACCCAAACAATGAAGTAAAAAAAAGCAGAGATTATTCCAGCCACTGGATGTGAAACACCCCACATGATTATCTGCCAATGAGAACCTCTGCCATCAGCCTTGTGCCAAACTTTACCAAGTCAACAAAGTATCACGCTCGGCTTAGAAGTGGGTTGAACCAATAATTGCCTGTATACAAACTCTTAGACTTTAACAACAATTAACCAACTGTTGTACAAAGGACCTTATATAAAAATAGTATTTATTTATTTTTTTTATTTGAGTGTTATTTTCTTTCTTTGTGTCTTGTCCCTGCTTGGACCAGCCCAATATAAAGATACCTGACAACAATTTGATCTTGGCCACCTTATGATCAAAGAAAATCACGTGGGATAAGGCAGAACATGGATTGAAGCAATCACCTATTCAATCGACTGCTGGTGTTGGACATCTTAGATGACCAGGGAGAGTGTAGGGCAACACTTGTAAATATTCATTATTTAACCACCCCCAAATTTTTTTCTTAAGACCATAGAGTCCTTAATATATCTTATTTATAAAAGCAATTAAAAGATTTTCTAATATAATGTCTTAATTTGATTGCATTTTTTATTTTATGATTCCAGTCAGATTTTCGGTAACTGATGTTCCTGTTTTACAAAAAAAAAAATTGATGATTTAAATTCTCCAAGGAGTTCTGCTTTTAACTAATATGAATATTAAGGGTGTGAAAATTTAATTTTTTGAAATTTCATAAAATTAAGTAAGTGGGAGTAACAGATGCTAAAAAAAAAAAAACCCCAAAAAAACCAAGATTTTCTAAACAAAAATTTCTAAAATAATTTCATCATTTGTGAATAAGTCCTGATAGTTTAATTAAAATTCAACAATTATTTGATTTTTGCAATAATTTCTAAGTCAGTGTGTTTTTTATTGCAAAAAAAGATGTTAAAATTTCTTATACTAATCTTTCATCCCCTTGCTGATGCAAGAGAAACAACATTTTTAACCCAAATTTTGAATGTATTAGGAAAAAATAAAAAATTAATTAAATAATCAAAAAATAATTTGATCTTTCCTCTTAATAACATAGTGTGATGATAAAACTTTGTTTTTATCAAGTTTGGGGCATTTTTTTCATCACGGTATGCTCTTTTTTCAGCAAATTAGTGGCAGTACCTATTATAAAGTGATATACTATTAGTCAGTTGTATTAGTCAACATGACTGATAAGATTACTAATCATTTATCAGAAAAAATTAGAATAACATGAACGTTGTCCATCAAGATTTACGGATTTGATTCTTTCTTTTTTTTATGTTCAAACCTCAGATTACTTTTTACTTTTCAATTCTTTTCTCTTCTGCATTTAGATCAACAAGAATTCTGCCTTTACAGCAAGTATTACCTCATCATGGGAGATCCTAGTCCTTCACCCCCTGCTCCCCTGGATCTCGGGCGCTTGGAAACAGAAGCAAGAGCCAATGCAGCAAAACATGTTTCCAGCCGGTTTCAGGTAGAATGTTGCACATCTTTTTTTCTCTAACTGCATAGAAGACATTTGTTTTTGTTTGTTTCTTCTAAGAATCTAATAATTCATGTTAAGTGCATTTTTGCTAGTTTTGGGAATGACGATAAACTACTTCCAGCAACATGGCTTCTGTTCAGGAGATTGGAGGTTTTGAGGAGTGTGGAACCACCTTTTAATTGCTGTTGTTCTCAGGTCACCCTGACCCGGGTGGTAGCACCTTTTAGGGTCCCAGCCATAGGCAAATAGTAACCCCCCCCCAAAAAAAAAACAAACTATGAAAACATAATAGTCAAATGACCAACAGTACATATTTATAGTAGAATTACCAACAATAGATTTCATCGATGGTTGGAGGCATACAATTGCTTCAAAAGATATTTAGTTGAAGGCATATATTTGTGTTCAAAATATTTAGATTTTGACATTAAATAACCCATAGAGGTTGATATGCCACTAAACAAAATCAACCAAGCAACCACTTCATTTGCTAATTTTTTTTTTTATATGGTTATATTTTATCATATCTAATATTATAGATATGACTTGTTTGAAACATTTTACAGTAATTTTTAAGAATGTAATTATAAAACCAAGACATCTAACTGAATGTTTTTTAGCATTTCTATTTCTTTCACACTGCATTTTTCTACTCTTTACTCCCAGTCTGTTTTTTTTTTCTTTGTATAAGCTCTACTCTTGCTTCCTTTTAATCTTTCTTTTCACTGTTTTTCATCTACCTTTTTTTTTACATACTGCAATTTTCTGCTCTAGTATTCAAGAAGTGTAGAATACTGTAACAGTTACCAGCTAGAAATTTGTTTTTTGTTCTTTTTAATATATATATATATATATATATATATATATATATATGTTTACTAGCAGCATGGCCTGGCGTTGCCGTGCTTGATTCAAAAATCGTACGACTCATACAGCAATCGTTATCACTTAGCTTAAAATATTTTTGCCCTTCCTTGCCTTATGTTGCTACATGCCTTACTTCTTGCCTATCTCACACTACAAATTTTTTCTAAGCTCTATACTAAACATTAAATCTGTTATGAAAAAAGAACTAAACAAAATGAATACAAAACGATCAGCTTTAAAAAAGGACTCAGAACTGGAAAAACCCGAATGAAAAAAGAATGTTAACAACAAATACTTTTTCACACCTAACCCAGTTTTATGGAATCAGAATCAATGTTGAGTTTAAGCAAAGCGAGCCAATTGGAGTAAAGTGCCATGCAGATTTAAATTTTTCCCACTTGTGACGAATGCAGCTATCGATTTTTTTTTTTTTTTTTTTTTTTTTTTGCATGCTAGGATGCATGTTTAACATTCGTGTCAGTTAGCTGTTGGCTCTCACGCTGGTCAATAGAATCTTGCTGCCTATTTGTGGCAGCCAGCTATTGGCTCTTACTCTGGCCAGTAGAAAATGGCCGTAAACTACACGAAAACTGCCGTAGAAGCATGAAAAAATCAATTATTTCCACTATCGATGGGAGTTGGGAAATGCAAAGTCAGTCTTGGCCTTCCCGCTAACTTGGAGCATGTGCATGTAAATTTTGGTGCAAATCTGTCGAAAATTGCGGCTGTGCATTTGTTACACACACATCCTGCCTTTTATAGATAAAGATTAATGTTCACCTAAGACAAGGCTCAAAAGCCACTCATAGTAAAGGATTACTGAATGAGGAGAGGTAAGAGGAGGCAGAAGAAAGTGAAAACTATGAAGATGAGGAGGATAGATAACAATTGATTGACATAATGGGGTTAACATTGCAGTATTCAGGAAGTGTCCACCCAGGAGTTTTTTCCACAAAGTAGCAATTTTTTGGGTGAAAATCTGAGTGGTACCTCCTCTTTATTTTTTTTAATATGGGAGAAATGTGGATGATTTGACTCTGGACATATCATGAGGAGTCCTATCTGTAAAGGTCTGAACTAGTGGATCTAAAGAGTGGAGCTCATGTGAACATTTGACATGAAAATAGCAAGAGAATAGCAATGTTTTATCAGTGTGGAAAGAGGCTATAGAATGGAAGATAAGTCATTCCAACAAAACCGCATAGACAATTCTCAACTCTATCAAGGCTTGAAAGTGAGAATTGGGCAGCTGAAGTGGTAATACTCCATTTTTGGTTTACTCTGATTTTTGTAAATATAAAGCATGGCTGATGGTGTCAGGTTCTTTCTGAGGTTTATTTTATATTTATTGCAGACTAAATTTTCTTGAAACCTGTATGAACATATTTATCTTTCTACTCTGTCCCATTACCAAATATTTTGGTGCTGGTATATTACAGTGGTTGATGGATAAGACAGTAGGGAAGTTAACACTTAAGCAAAAGACTCTCCCATACCTGTACAGACAGTATCAACATAATAAATCTTGATAGAAAATAATAAGTTTTGTTTTCTAAAAAAAAATTATTCAGCCCTTCTTATTCAATAACAGATTTTTGAAACTTTATTTTTTTTGCTTTTTTTTGCTTTTTTTCCAGCGTCCTGAACAGTTGGAAAAGGTGGACCAGTATAAAAGACGTGTTGCTCGAAAGAAGGTAAAACTTTTAGGCAGTTTATTTTCTTATTTAAACTAATTTTCTTACAACAATAAAAGTAACTCTGTCCACAGTGTTCATAAATTGAAAACAATTTTGTATTTTATAAATGATTTACATTAAACATCACCCTTTTTTTTTTCTTTTTTTCATGCTTATTTTTGTTTAATGACAGCCATGAAGGCTCTGAGCATCTATTTTTATACATAGTTAATTTTTCAATGTGAAAAGTAATTTTGAAATAACATTTTTCTTTTCAAAGATTAATTTTTCTGTCTGAAAAGAAATTATTTTTTTTAAAACATTGGTTTGTATAATTTATGTATACTCCCATTGTTTTTAACATATGATGGTCAAGCAGCTGAGGTCTTAGAACCAAAGAGCCAGACTACCCACAAATATCATTTGATTATAATGGTTAAGGCTTGTGCAGAAGCAACCATGCTTTTTGGAAGAGCTGAATACAGAGAACTGGTGCACAGTATGCCGCAAGGTCCCCAAATGATCCTCCATAGGTTTTGAATTCAGTGTTGTCCTTCTAGACCGTTGATCCCCCAAGCACAGGGATTTCAATAAATGAAACTATTGGCCATAAAGAAAGGAAATTTGTTCTCTTGCATAAAGTAATGAATAGGCTTGTTATGAGTCGACCAATAAGTAGATATAATTATAATTGCTATCTACTGAACTCTCCTATTATTTTCAATGTCTGAGGGTCAAGCAGCTGAGTTCTTAGAATCAACAGCCAGACTACCTGCACATATCATTTGGTTATGGCGGTGAAGGCTTGTGCAGAACCAACCACATTTTTTGGAAGAGCCCAATATGGGGAAGTGGTGCACAGTATGCCATAAGGTCCTCAAATGATCCTCTGCAGGTTTTGAATTCAGCATTGTCCTTCTAGACCGCTCATCACCCAAGGCTCTAAAACCCAGTCTGTCCTGTTATTTACCGATAGGTGGGTTGAGAAGGGATGGATTCATGCCTTTCCCAAGGCTATTGACATATAAGTGAATGTAATGGACTCAGCTGGAATTTGAACTCTGCTCTCCAATTCCTCAATCCAAGGATAAGGAACAAATAGGGAACATTTATAAATTTAAGATGTTTCCCTTTTATTTAATCTTAAATAAAATCAAAATGTTAAATTTATAAATGTTTCCTATTTGGTTCCTATCATTGTGAGATGACAATAATCCATATTTGATACCAATTCATATATATATATATATATATATATACACACACAATGGAATGGACTAAGTTCAACAATTATTTAATATATTTTCTGTTTGTATGTTATTTTAATAGATACAATTTATTTAAGAAATGCTCTGTTTTTTTAATTAAACTATTAATTACATTTACCGGCCTGAAATTATATATATATATATATATATATATATATATATATATATATATATATATATAAAAAGTTGTGTATTTAGGCAGAAATCCTTTTTTAATACATGTTTCATTGAACAACACTGAACAGGTACTTTTAATTTTTATATTGTTTTTCTTGTCTAGGTACAAATGTTTTCTTTTCTTGACTTAATGAATGCAAAAATTGTCCAAAAGTTTGTTGATTCTGACCACTTTCAGCTAAACTGTTAGCCGTTTTCCAAGATTTTTTTTTTTATGATTTCATGGGAGAGTTTGAACATAAATTATCCAGTATCTTCAAAACACCTTCTGCTTTCATAAACCATTATCAAAGAATTTTTTGTAGGCTAGTAAAGTTGTGTGTATCGGTAGGTATTGTGTTTGATAATGGATTATGAAAACCAAAAACACTCACAATTTCTACAACACAAGTCATTTCCTATTTATCTGCAGGAACACTCTAATTCTCTCTCTACTGATAAATTGAAATCAGTCTCTCTTGTTTGTGTCTGTTTTCTTCTCACTAAATTAATTCATAAACAATAATGGCATCCCACATTTCCAGGAACTGGTTCTATAAAGGCAGGTAATCTTTAGGAACCTATTCTGCTTATTTTCTTTTCAATCTGAGAAGGAAACAAATTATAGTATTAAAAAGAATTAAACCATTTTGATAAATTTAATAGAAAATATAGTCAGTTTCTTTTTTTCTTGTAATAAAGTTTCCTTCAACCAATTCAACATGTGTCTCCTGTTCAATACTACATTCACATTGCTCTGTTGCTTTGTTAAGCACTTTTTATAGATTGAGTGACAAGTCAAATTTACATAAGGTGGGAAGAGAGTCTTGTAAAAGTAGCTGAGATTTATCTTTTCTTAAATATATGATTCATAAATCTGCCATTTTCTTTTTGGAAATATTTTACATGCAAAACACGTCTGAATCCATTTTCGTTCAGGAGGTAAGCTACTCTAATGTTGCAGAAAAAATTTATTTATTAAGATATTTCCAGATTGAAATTATCATATTTCTGTTCAGAAGCATGATACTTTTTGTCTCTAGTGTCATCAGCTGTGTTATGATTTCTTAACTACATTTGAACTGAATTGCAGCAGTCCCAAAGATCCAATGGAAGAGCTATCAAATTTAAGACTAGGAGATTTGCCACATTTTTAACTTGAAGACTTTCTTTTGTCAGAATAAATTATGCCTCTCAAAGAAAGCCTTTTTTCTACCTCCACAAAACTTACATCAGTGGTATTAATTATATTTTTAGCTCTTTGGATAGTTTTAGGTACAACATGTTTATGTTAATTTTCCATTACATAATCATAGAAATCCTTATTGTTGTGGTAGGGTGTGTGTATGTGTAAGCATAGTGTAACTAACATTTACTTAGACACATTGGCTATTGATATAGAAGATTATTTTCAGATAATCCAACAACTGGTTCACTAAGCTTTTATATTATTAAAATTTTTGTTTATGTGAACTGATAGGATGCCACTATTGTTCATAACCAAATGCATATCCTATTTCTTACTTGTTTACTCTTTTTCTTCTTCCTCATCCTTTAAAGGTTCTATAATATTTGATTGTGTCACAGTTGAAGTTCTTTTTTATTTTACTTTTTTTTTTTTTTGTATGTGCAGGCTTCTGTGGAGGCAATGCTGAAAACTGCTGTTCAGTCTCAGTTGGATGGAGTGAGAACAGGACTTCACCAACTCCAGTCTGCTCTCCAGAACGTCTATGAGATCAAGAAGAGGTCAGTAATGTTGTTTGTTTGGATTATCAAGATGTACACGTATACATAATTTTTATGGATTACTTATTCTTGAATAGGAACTTGCTTCTCTTTGTGATGCTTTTCAATAGAATTGGATTGTAGTAAGAGAGATCATCTTCTCTCAATCAGTGCTAACGACATCACAATATGAAGGTAACTGGGAATTGAAGAGAAAGAAGACATTAGATCATAATCCTTTCTTAAAGGTAAACATAAAAGCATAAAAATGAGGTAAATATGGACCTTTGTACCTGAAATAAGATGGATTATCAAAAAGACCATTTTTCCCAACTATTTTAACTATCACTTCTCAGCAAAGTTCATTTTAAAAATGATGATTAGTGTGGAAGAAGAAAGCTTTTTAAGAAATGTTTTTTTTTTATTTATCCTTTTGAATTAAACTCTTTTTTCACTTTTCTAGCATGGATGAAATTGATGAATCATATAAGTCTATAACTTCTCTTGAAGAAAAACTGAAACGTGTGCGTGAGGAGAACTCAAACTTTTGCCAGGTAAGAATCTGGTTTTATCTGACTAGGCTTCAGCTAACAAATTTGAAGACTGTTAAAACTAATATGACTAATGTCATGTCTGGATCTTTATTTCCTTCACTCCAGGATCCTTACTTAGTTGCAGAATTACAATCTGGAAGTTATTATAAAAAATAAAAGAAATAAGAGTTGAAAATTAATAATAATCAATATTGCTTATTAATAAAATATTGATTACTGACAAATGTGTTCTTCAAATGCTTTTTTGTTATTTTTTAATAAAGTAAATATTTTAAAACTATTTCTTTTCTTCTTTTTCTCTAAAAATTTAATACAGGTAAGATATGTTCACCTATCGTCCAGTCCGCATTCCCTTGTCTTTTGAACAGAGTAGTTGTTTATTCCTTGTTTCCTGTCTAGGATTGGATTTCTGGTTACTGTTAAAGTCTTCTCATTCTCTTTAACTCTTTGTATCCCGTTGCATCTTAGTGGCATTATTACCTTACTTTAGGAGAATTGGTTACAAAAATAAATAATTGGAAGAAGACATAAAAATATGTAAATCTTTGTTGATTAATTTGTTGGATCAGAATCATTTTTCTTTTTTAATTTTCATTTATTTTGGTTTTATTTTAGCTTGCAGCAGCAGTGGAAAATCTGAAGCACATCTTTCAAGTTCCTGAAAGTGTAAGGAAAACACAGGAATTAATTAATGACGGAAAATTGTTGCAGGCACACAAACAGTAAGTTCTTTTGCATTGCAGTTTTATTGTAGATTTTGGACTTTTTAGATTTTCACACATTTCACTGAAAAATATCAACTAAACAAAAAAAAAATTCCCAAAATAATTTCCAATTTGTTTTAATTTTGTTGTTGGATTTTTTTCTATTTACCTGTACATATTTCCCAGTTTTATTCATTAACTGACATTCAACTTAATTGCATATTACCAACAGTCAAATGAAATTAGGAGGCACGGTGGAGTAACGGATAGCGGCTTGGATTGAGGAATCAGAGAGCCGAGTTCGAATTCCAATTGAATCCATTACATTCACTTACGTGCTAATACCCTTGGGAAAGGTGTGAATCCTCTTCTTCTCCCTCCAGCTATGGGTAAATAGCAGGACAGACTGGGTTCTATAGCCTTGGATGGCAACTGGTCTAAGAGAAGGACAACTCTGAATTCAAAATCTGCGGAGGGTCGTTTGAGGACCTTGTGGCACACAGTGCACCAGGTCTCTGTAATCGGCCCTTCAAAAAGTGTGGATGGTCCTGCACGAAACCTTCACCACTATAATCAAATCTCATGTGCTATACATGCGGGTTGGGGACCGCTTGTGAATTCCAAATTCCCATGAAACTCCAATATTTGAGCCGGCTCAACCCACCTCGGGTGAATGCCATTACAAGAACAAGAAGAAATGAAATTGCCGTTACTAAGCTCTCAATATAAAAACATGATTCAACATGTAACAATGATGATATTAATTAGCCCTGTGAGTAGAACTTATGCCAACTGCATCATCGGTAAACAGGTAAAAAAAACCTGACCAAATGATTATAGACTCAAATATAAACAACTAATATTTATGTTCTAATTCTCATATAAGCTAGATGTTCTGTTTAATAATATTCAAAGGAAAACACTGGAACAAAAGATTAGTGAAGAAACTGTTTAATTACATGGATTAATAATACAATAATAGTGAATACTGTAGCAAGTGTGGTAATACCTACAACCCACTTTGCAACAACCATTCCTATGAGCAGGCGTTCCACTCATAGTCAATGGACGAGTCCATGTTCAACAATTAGTGTAAAGAAAGTCGGCCATCTTTCTGCACCATAATTTACCTAGCACTAACATATTTAAACACTGATTATTATTTTTTTCTTTTTAATTTTTTTTTCTGGGTTGATGCGTTATTATTCATATTATTAACAGTCGAACTAATGTCCTCATCTTTGTTATTACTATTATAATATTTCAGGTGTTGTGTCCTCTAGCCTTCTTCCGGTGTCTGCCAGTCCAAATATTTCAAACGGAGCAATTTATCTAATCTTAAGATATCTTTAAGATGTCCCTAGACATGAACAGCAGAATGAGAACAATCTACAAAATCCCTGTCGATTAAATAATGAGTTCAGTTTGAAGTTCCCCAAAAGTTACCTTGATCAACAAACACTGATTTTTAACTTAGAAAAGAAAAAAATTTAATTTTAATCACCTGAGAAGCATATATTTTTGTGAGAGATGAATTTGTCAGTTGCTTCAGGACAGTCATTGCATTAACTGTTTTCATCAGCATCTATGAATTGTGTCTCAAATCACCAATTTACTGTTATAGTGATAAGACCCAAGACAAATTTCTTGTGTAATTTCTCATCGGCTGCTCCCAACTGATATGCAGTGAATCTTACTGAGTTTTAGATTTTAAAAAGTTAAAATGCTATTTACTATATTTATTTTTTTACTAAGTATACAAAATATAAAGTTTTTATTATTCTTTAAATATGTAAATCTATATAATAATTATATATCTGAAGAAATATAGTCTTAAGGTGTGCTATATTTATGGGATAAAGTGCTCAATATCAGAGATAGTGTGTGTAAACATAAAAGTGAACATTGAAGTCAACACTTAGAGGCGACAGTCTATTTCATATTAGACGCAATTGTCAGGCCACAACGATTGCATCTAGCATGAAACAGCCTGTCGCCTCTAAGTGTTGACTTCAATGTTCACTTTTATAATAATTATATATATATATATATATAAAGAAAACAATACTCAAATATTGTTGCTTTCCTGTGACTTGAAATGTCATGTATACGCTCTATTTATTATGTAGCTGTCTCACAGTCTTCAGGCAAAGGACAAGATACTCAATTCTCTATATGTAAATCTGTATAATAATTCTACAGATGTAAGTCTAAATGATTTTGAATTTTATAATCTGCCAAGTTTTGAGTCATTTAATTTAGATGTTTAATAGATTTCTTGGTATGAGATGTGAATTAACACCTTGCATATCTTTCTTCCTTAGTGTATGTATATCTGTTGTCTAGGGTTAAAAAAAATCAAAAGATCTTATTGATTCATACATTTTTATAAGTAGGAATATTAGTAGAGCCAAGAATAAAAGAAGTCATACATGTGTTATATATTTTATCAGTCCTGTATATGAAATTTTTGTAGTTCTATAACTTAATAAGGAATTAAATGCTCTTCTTCAATGATGAACCGAGTTTTGAGCTGATTGTTCTAATTAACGTAATTTGGCTGAAAAAATAGGTTTAAAAATAAGCAAACCTATTTAATATTGGCAATCAGTCTAGCCTTTTTTTATTATGTATTAGCCACATAGCATAAATTTATCTAAAATGTAGTCCTGGGTATGATGATAAACTACATCTGACGGCAAGGCCTATGATTGGAAGATGGGAGGTTTTGAGGAGCATGGAACCACCTCTTAATTATTGTTGTTCTCAGATCTACCCTGACTCTGGGTGGTAGCACCTGTTAGGGCCCCAGCTATGGGCAAATAGTGAACAACCAAACAAAAACAAAACACTATCAAAGTATAAAAATACATTTTTATAGTAAAAATACCAACAATACATTTTATCTGTAGTTGAAGGGATACAATTGCATTCAAAATATATTTAGTTGAAGCCATAAAATTGTGTTCAAAATATTTAGATTTCAGCATTAAATAACCCATAGAGGTGTTGATATGCCGCTAAACAAAATCAACCAACCAAATAACCAACATGAAAGAACACTTTCATGACATTAGTCCATATAATATCCTACAATTTCTTAAAGAAATCAAACTCTATTCTAAAATATAATTTCAACAAAACTACAATGTAAAACACGCATATTGTCTCTATGTCCGCACAAACCTGTATATGCACAAAAGTTGAGTATCATCTACCATGTATTCAATTGTGAAAGCAGAATAACATCTATCATATTTTTATTAAAGCTCCCAAGAAAATTAAATTTCAGCATTAAATGACCCATGAAGGAGTTGATATGACTTTAAACAACCAAAACAAAAGCAAAAAATCAATTATCTAAAATGTTGTATTTCTCCTTGCTTTTTCCTTATTCTTTGTTCTGTTTTTCTAGTTTGATGGATTTGGAAATGGCCAGAGATGATCTCTTAATGGAGCTTCATCGGCAACCACAACAAAGTCCCACAGATAAAAATGTAAGTTTATACTTTGCCCCCCTTTCAGCCTTATCATTATTCAGGTTCTCAACATCATTTCAACCTAACTTTGGTTAATTCCTTTTAAATAGAAAAGGATTTTATACTAGTAGTATTATGAGATATAATACAATCTGAATTTCTTAGAGAAAACATTTTCAAGTAATATTAATTTAATCCTTCTCTCATTTTAATTCCAATTATTTTATTTTTTTTATTACAACTTCTGGATTATTTCACAGCAATTTTTCTATTTTAAGTATGTGTATGTAAAATGAAAATTATTACAGCAGGCTTTTTATCACACTGACAGTTGCTAACACAGCAACGATTGTCAAACACAACTCTCTAACAAACTTAAATCATACTGACTCCCAGTTTTCTACACTTGGGGACCACAAGCCAACTCAGTGACTGTCCTTTTGGTTGTCGTCTGCCCAATCAAAACAAACCTTTGTTTCATGTCAGCTGGAATAGTTGAGGTGAAACAATTGAATACAAAACAGTTATTATAACAAATTGCCTTTCTTTCTTCTTGAAACACTTGAAGATATCACTACAATATATAATTTGCTTCTTTCTCTTTGCAGACTTTGAAACATTATTTTGCAGATGTTGAAAAGCTCTCTGAAGCTATGGGAAAGCAGCTTTGGCTTATTCTACAACGAGCTTTGATATCTGTGAGACAAGAACCAACTATTATTGTCACAGTCATCCGAATTATTGAACGTGAAGAGAGGTGTGTGATTTCTTAGTTTTCCTTTGCAAATCTTTCATCTCATTATCGTGTCTGACTGCAGTTAACAAATTTAGTATCTCTGTTTCTTCGGATTGGGATATTAAGTCTTCCATATTCATTAGTTTTCTTTTCACTATCCTCATCTCTTTGATTTTTATTTTCTTTATTTGAAGAAAGTCAGAAACTGAACAAAAATAAGGATAGCAAGGATAATATTTTGTTAATATCAAAGATTTCAGACTAAATCTTTTATTTTTATAAATTTATGGCATTTTTTTATTCTGGAGAGTCTGTCTTTGGCACAGCACCTTCTCCATTTCATGAAAAGAGAGAAGGTCATGGGTTACACTTACACCATTGTGGCACTAGATGGAAGTAAAGCTGTTTTTTAATCTACACATAAAATGGCCTTATGCCACATTTCTATCCCTGTAGGTAGATGGTTAAATAACATTATGCCATCATTCAGCTAAATGATGTAATTCATTTATAAAAGAATTCCAGTTTCAATTTAATAACTTCTTCACAATCTTGAACTTGTTGTTGGAACCACTGATCATGCAAGGATTATTGCCATGGGATTTAACAATTGATAATTTGAAGGTAACATGAAACCGAAAAAACATCTCATTCCAGTTCAATTATTGTTTGTTGAATTGTATTTTGTAATATAAAAAACAGGTTTTGTCATGCAACAAAATTACTTGTTGACTTCTCCCCCGCAAAAAAAAGAAGTTTTTCTCTTCTAATGTGTCATTCAAATGTGCCAATTGCTCACTGTTGCATTGGCACAGTAACAGTTTGTCCCAATCTCTGCAATTTGAAATAAAGAATTTGTTTTGAATCAGGTAAAACATAGAAAAATCTTTTTCATTTGTATCTTCTGTTTAATATTCAGGTATCCTCTACATCTATTCATGATTTTCTTCATTCTGTATTCGCCACAAGAAATCCATTTTTTAACACTACTGACTATTCAGTCCAAAAAGAGTAAGAAGACAATGATAAGTGTTGGATTTATATTATTTATGTGTGGACTGTTGTCCTCAAATTTCTTACTATTATCACTGATGATTATTTGTGCTAATAACAACAACAACAACAACAACAACAATGATGAGGCCAATAAATCTGTGGAAAATAATGATAACTCCTCATTGCAGAAATTCAGATAGACAAATGTTTAAATAAACAGTGACTGACAATCATTTCTCTAAGTTCATGTGGAGCATATTTTCTGAGTTTCAGAATTTTTTCGAAGGCTTGTGAAAATGTTAAAAAAAATTCTCTGCTCTGAATAAGTGACATTTAATATTTTCATGTGTCCTGTCTATGTTGACCGTAATATAGGCTTACGGCCACATCACATTGAACCACCACTTCCTGTGCAATCACCAAAGTTAAGCAATGTCAAGCTTGGTCAGTACCTAGATGGGTGACTGCTTGAAAATACCAAGTGCTGTAAGTTTGGATGTATGGGTGGTTTAATGAATAATGGCTGGGAATTGTTAATCAGAGAGCAGTTTTCTAATTTCCATTGGGTTCGTTATATTCACTTACATGCAAATACCCTTGGGTGGGAAAGGTATGAATCCACCTCTTCTCTCTCCAGCTATGGGTCAATGAGTAAACATATCACTAAACCATTATTATCTAAAAACAAAACAGAAAAAACATTCTTACAATCTAAAAATACTTTTTGGCTTTATATAACCTGCAAAGATTTGATAAGCCATAGAAAACTAATCAATCAATTGACTTTAATATAGTTTTAATGGAATTGTTGTAGCTAGGATTCAATTTTTCTCATCAGATGTCTTCTGTATAAATGTCACATCTCATCTGCAGTCTAAAAAGGCTGTCTCTTGAAATCTTCATCTGTTTTTTTTTATTCTCATTTTAGAGTTTCTCATCATATATTATCATCTTGTTAGTTCTCCTGCAATTTTCAGCTGTCATAATCTTTCATCAGCAATCTTGGACCTTTGTGCCTGCAAAAACACGGAATGTCAAAAGCACATTTTTTCCATGGACACAGATATTATTTTAACTACCATCACTCCTCAACAGTGTTTATTGTTTTAAAAAGTGATGATTAGAATTGAAATAAAACCTAAACATATGATGAAAGAGAATTTACACATCTTTTTGTTATTGAGAATTACAAGAATATTAAACACTATTAGATTGTTTATTTACAAGAATAATTTTATATTTGCCACAGTCTAAAAACAAGCACAATTGTGTTAAAACTAATGCAATGCAATATTTATCATTTACCAATTTATAAAGAAATAAATATGAAAATAATCCACTATTCATATATTTATATAACATTTACTAAATTATTAAAATATGTGAACCAACTCTTATTATTTACCATTTTATAAAGTTCGTATCAATTAGCAATTAGCTGATGTTTTGCCAACTATTCCAATAAATAATATAAATAAATAGTTTAAATAAATAGTATTTATTATTTTTGTTGTAAATTCTCAAGAGAAAGATGTATAAATTCACTTTAATCATATGTTTAGGTTTTATTCCAATTCTAATCATCGCATTTTAAAACAAACATTGCTGAAGAGTGAAGATAGTTAAAATAATAGCAGTGTCAGGAGAAAAATTATCCTTTTGACCCTTTTCATATTTTTTCTTTTTTTTTTTTTTTTTTTTTTTTTTTTTGCAGGCAAGAACGTCCAACATTGTCCTTTCATCATTCTGACATCGACTCCTTTGATAAATCAACATAAGCTTTCATGTTGAAGCTTTTTTTTCCTTTTCATAGGCAGTCTATCAACATTGTATTATCATTATATAATTTCAGGATAGACGTAGCTGCTTTGAAAAAACATGAACAATTTGGATTCCTTCCACCTGGACGTCCTAAACAATGGCGGAAAAAGGCATTTGAAGTTTTAGAAGAAGCAATTGCTGCCAGGTAACAAAAAATGCCTTTCTTATTTAATTTCTGTTTCATTATTTCTAATTGTATTTCTTATCACCTATTTCTGCCTTATATCAGTTTGTTTATATGAACATTTATCTTTGCTTGTTAAATGTTTCATTCATAAATGGATAACAGAGGTAGAATAAAATTTTCTCAGTTATTCAATGCAGTATAAAGTACATTTCCACTTTCTTTATAGAAATAAAGAAAGTGAATGCTTTTTTTTTCTTTTTTTTTTTTTTTTTAAAGTTTTTTTTTTGATCTCATTAACAAAAAAATCTATTTTAGAATTGAAGGCAATCAGCTTGAAGATAGAACTGATAACAAAATGTGGTTGGTACGCCATCTTGAAATTACTCGAAAATTTATGATTGAAGATTTTAAAGTTGTCAAGGTATATACCTGTTTATATATTCCCGTCTTTTAAAAATGTGTCTTCTAATTCCTGTTTTTTATAACCTTTTCTATTGATTTTTTTTTTTTTTTTTTTTTTTGGCCTGTTCTTCTTCAATTTTTTTTTTATTTTCTTTTATTGACAAAGATTCTTTAAATATTGTCATTTCTCTTTTCCTGTTCACTTCATGTATCAAAGCAAAGATTGAAACATTAAGGGCAACATTAACAAATATATAATGACTCTGCTACAGTGATGCATATGTACAGATTATATAAAAACTGGTATTAAACCATTATTCTCATTTAATTTTACATTTTATTTTTATTGCTTTTTATTACAACACCTATAGTTTTTACATTCTACATTTGTAAGTCACTATCAAAGATATGGAAAGCAAGCTTCACTTTTTCACCTCATTGACTGATATAACTGCACCATATCAAACTGAAATCTCCGTGAGCATGCTTTTTATTAAATCAATTCACATGCACATTAGGTGAATGCAATCAACTCAATGATGCTACTTCAGCTCACAGGGGGTCATTCAAAAAGTTCTCAGCCTCATTCAGAAGGAGTTGGAGAAACAAGACAGTTCTTCACTATTTTTCAATATAGTCTCCCCCCCCCCTTGACATCATTGCCCTTGATTCAGTGATGTTTAAGCATTGCAATCCCATTACAGAAGGTAGCGTACTGGTTCTGTAAAAACTTTGTCACAGCACATATGATCATTTCCAAAATGGTGACCACCACCCAGGTGTGATTTGAGTTTAGGAAACAAAAAGAAGTCAGATGGAGCTAAGTCTGGTGAGTAAGGGGGGGTGTGAGATAGCAATTCAAAGCCACAGCTGGCTGCTTTAGCTACTGCAACCTGAGCAGTATGAACAGGTGCATTATCATGGAGCAAGCACACACTTCTTGCACTCAGCTTCCCACAGCGTTTCAACTTTATTGCTGCTTTTAGTTTTCTTAATTCTGGTGCACAGTACTGTCCAGTAATAGTTTTTCCTTTTTCCAGGTCATCTATCATGATTATGCCTTTGGAATCCCCAAGAACCAGAAGGCATCACTTTGCTAACAGATGCTGCCTACTTGAACTTCTTCAGGAGTGAAGAAATAGTTTATTTCCAATCTTTGCTTTGAATCTTTGATTCAGGTTTGAAGTGGTAAGCTCAGGTTTCATCTTGAGTTACTAATCTGCATTGGAAATCCTCAGGGTCAGCCTGGAAGCAAGTCAGAAGTGTCCTTGTCAACCCTTTTTGGTCCCTGCTCTGGTGTCAGCATTCTTGGGACTCATCTTGCAGACAGCTTATTTATCCCTAGGATCAGAGTTAAAACAGCATAGACTTAAGCAGAACTAATGCCTATGGACTTAGCTATCTGCTGGGACAGGAAGACATATCATTCAAAACCATACAGTGAATGACATCAACTTGTTCATCAGTGGTTGAAGTTTTTGTACTCTTTAACAAGAATCGAACCTGTGACCCTTAGTGCAAATGGAGCTACTGTTTAGTTCAGTATGCATGGCAGGGAAAGATAGAAATCAGGGCTTAGTTAAAATAGTATGGACTAAACCAGAACTAATGCCTATGGACTTAGCTATCTGCTGGGACAGGAAGACATATCATTCAAAACCATACAGTGAATGACCTCAACTTGTTCATCAGTGGTTGAAGTTTTTGGACAACCTAACTAAAGGTCATCTTCTGTGATGCCTCTGCTCAGCTTGAATTCTGCAGCACACTTCTTCACAGTTGCATAGTAAGGGGAGTCCTCAGCAAGTGCCTGTACCATGTCCTCATGGATTTCCTTGGGTGTTATACTTTGGGCCTCTGAATTTTCCATTTTTAGATTTGTCACACACCTTTCATCTTTGTATGGGCCTCATCAGCACAGAAATTAAGACAGAAATCTGAATTAGTTTTTCTACATTTATAAGAAGGGGTAGTGAGTGTGTCACCACAAAAAAAAAAATCAGCTATGGCTCTTCTTTCTGGGTGAGGTTTAGAACATTTTTTTTAATGACCCTCATAGCAAAAAATACATGCAATACGAAACCACATTAATTTTTTGCTGACACTATTAAGTTGTTACTTGATTCTTCACTTCACTGAAATCTTATTTCCAATCCATGCTGATTTTTAAACAATCTTTGAATATAAAGTCGATGTGCAGGTGGTGAAAAGAATAGCAGCTTGGAATGTGAAATTGGAAAACCAAGTTCAAATTACAACCTGACTCATTGTATTCACTTATGCATAAATACCCTTGGGAAATGTAGGAATTCATCCCCACTCTAACTATAAATTAGATAATAGTACTTGTATTTGGAAAAAATCATTATTTAAAAAAAAAAATAGCTAATGCAATATTCACTCCCCCAGAATAATTATTATTACAATGCAAAATATGTTTTGACTTTAAAATAACCCACAAAAGGTTTACAAGCTATAAAAAAAGAATCAATTTGAATATAAAGAACATCCTGAATTTTGCTATAAAAATAACAAAAGTAGAATGTAAAAACAACTATGAAACAATAAAAAGCACCAAATTTTAAAGATATTTCTTGGACAAAGATAAATTCGGCACAAATCAGATAAATGTAACACTCCATAAGAATCAAACTTACTTGCAATGGCTTGTGAGACTTGTACTAAACATCATTCTGTGAGAAATGCGCTAACCTGGATTATCAAAGCTATCTTGATATGTATTACTCTGTGAATTATTGTTGAAGGGCAATTGCAACATTCTAATCTTACAAGTCCTTCTTAGTAAATTCATTCTTTACTGGGTGCTACACATCTGTGATTTTGTGCCAATGTTAGTTTTGTCCTATAAATATCTGTAAATTTCTACTGATCTGTCCATGAACACACATATACAACAAGCACAAGATGGTGAGAGAAAGAGATAAATTAATGACAATTCTTGTATTCTTTCTTAGAAAAAGTTTAGTAATACATTTCCTGGGAGTCTAATGTTAGTTTTAAAATTTAAATTATAAAATTAGTTTCTGTTTATCATTGTTGATTATTATTTTTTTTATTTATGTTGATTAAGCTTTCATTTTATTCCTAATAAATTCTTAAATTCAGTTTTCATTTTATTTTTCTGTCAACTTTGTTGCATTTATCTAACATAAAAAATAAATTCTTTGAAAATTTTAATTTGTTTTTATCTCATCAATTTTTTACCTTACTTTCTTTTTGAGAATATATTAATTTCTGTTATTTATTTAAAGAATCTTTTTGGTTGGTGCACAGTGTACAAAGAACTGTATTACTTATTTTCATGTGCAATCAAAATGCTATTTCACTCCTGATTATTTATTGATGTATATTTTATTTTCCAAAAGACTCTTTTCCCACCAATATTTCCTCCGGACTATGATATTGTGAAACTCTATGTTAGAATGTACCACCGATGCTTGTCAGCACATGTAAGTAAATTATATTTTTGTATTTTACTGTGCATTCATTTGTCTTATATTTCATAAAAACAATAATTTTGTCAAAGTTTTTAGAATTAGTAAATTTGAAAGGTTAGTGAATGTTTACCAGAACAGAAAGCAGATTCAAATCCCAGTTGAGATTATTTATGACCAATTCAAACAAATGCTCTTGTAGACATCCCATTACACATTGTAGGTTCAATGGGGTCAGCACATGTACTACGACTGAATCAGCAATGGCTCTGTCTGGAGAAATGCTCATGAGAAAGGTCTAAAAACCATTTGTCTAAATACTTGATAAAAATATCTTGTCACTAGCATGGTTGGTGAAGGAGTAAGCACAAAATGCTCTTATCTGACCATGCAGTCACTGCAAAGAACTGTTACCACAGTTATCAATCTTGACATGGTTTAGTTATAGTTTTCTGCAAAACAATATATTTAATATTGTCTTGGGTTTACTGGTCATCTATTAGTTTGTTCCATGAAATCGTTTGTTTTTTATCATTTCTTTTTAATACTTATTATTTATTAATAATTCTGATGAATTGTTCAGTGTATTTCCTTTTATTGTTTGCGACCTCTCCTGCTAATGATCCACTAACTGTTCAATGCTCTGACGATAGAAATCACTAAGTTTTGACTTGAAATATTCATCATGTTTTAAGCTTTACATCGTTGTTGAATGAAGCACCCATCAAATTCTTAGAAAGCAGCTGAAAAAGGTGGTAGTCTAAAGAGATTAAATCAGAATATGGTAAATGTGGCAGAACTTCCCAACCAAGTTCTTTAATTGCATGTTTGGTCATGTTAGCGATGTGGGGGTGAGCATTGTCATGTTGAATAATCACACTATCACCAGTGAAGTCTTTTCAGCTAAATTGCCTTTTTGTGCCTCTGTTCATTTGTTTAACATACAACTTAGCATTGACTGTTTGGTTGTTCTGGACCTTACCCATTGGGTGAAGATGACAAGCAACAGTAACATGTGAGCTTGCCATCCTTCTGAGCCAATTCTTTAGGGGGCTGGTGTGGTTCTTCTTTAATCGGTGCATGCAATTGGTTCTCATCAAACTGCATAGGGTCTGCCACAAGGCAGAGAGTCTATGAGTTAAAACTTTCTTTCCTTTGTTCTTGTCTACTTGGCATTTCATCTCAAAGGGGTGCCTAATCTGAAATAAAATTTCAATAATATTAAACAACAGTTTCACAGGATGACCAGAGGTACTAAGCAAAAAATGCCATGAAAGATTATTCTTTGAGATCATGTGAAGAACATCAGAAAAATGAACAAATATATGTAACAACCTAATATAATACAATTTTTAAAGATTGTATCAAGTATTAATGATAAGAAAAAAAGTTTCATTAATATAACTTAAAAACCCCTTCCCATTTATGTCTCTTTTCAGTTTATAATGTTTATCAGATTTCCTTTTCCTCTAAAATTTAAGCAAAAAAAAAAATCTTGCTTTAAAAATTTCTAGAGAAACAGACATACTCAAACTTTTCGTGATCTATTTTTATTCCTTTATACTGTCATATCCTCTGATGAAGATTGAAAACTTAAGTCATTGTCTTTAGAAATTTCAATTTTTAATGAATATATTATCTAAACTAATTTGACAATGTTTCAGTAGACAGCAACTAATTCAGTTTTTCTTGTTGTTTCAGTTGAAAGATCTTATCCAACAACAACTTGAAGGAAATGAAATCATTACTCTGCTTATATGGCTCAATAGTTATGAGTAAGTAGGGTTTGCTAAAAATTGGTTAGTTTGGAACAAGGCTAAAGGGGAAGAAATGTGCTAGGAAGATCTTTGATATGGGTAAGACTTGCCTGCTTGGAAAATCAGCATTTTAAATTTTGACTGGATTTGAATACTAATCTCTGGTAACCAGTGTGAAATATGCAATTATCTCAGCTACAAAACATGACCATTTTTTTTTCTTTATTATAAAGAAGTTATAACTTTGCATGTGACAAATATTACAAAATGTAGATTAAATAGGCTTTCAGAAAAATTTACTTACAAAAATAATTTAACATATCAACCATTGTTGGTTTAATATTGTCAAATATGTCTTGCATATATTTTTAAGTAATATTTTATTTTTTGTTGTATGATTCTATTGTTTCTGATTGTTATGTTTGTTTGTGAATTTGTTTTAGTTGAATGGATTTTATGAGCAGAAATTTCATATCAGCTTCTAGAGGTCTGATCCTATATATATGTAAATACTCTGTTGACACACAATTTGATGTACAATTTTGCATCCATTTATTATTATGTTTATAGATACAAATTAAGTCAAATGTCTGCAGTAAAAGTTTGGTCAGCCAAATTTTAACCACTTGAGGAAGCTGTCAAGATATTTCATAAGAAATTATTTTGTCCCACTTTTTCTTACTCTGATAAAAAATTAGGTAGTAATTCAAGACAATTCATATGCAATGATGAAAATAAAGTTCTAGGGCAACTGATGAGATACTTTATACTATTCAAAAATATCCCAGTTTCAAACAGATAAGTTGTTTATTTTTAGAAAAAAATTACTTCATAATTGGATTCCTCATGTTACATTTAATTCCGGCTTTTAGTTAAGCAGTAGCCCTCATGATTCCATGTTTTTTGTCAAGAAGTTTAATTATTACATAATGAAAAATAAAAATATGACGAACTATTCTTGTTAATTCATAGGAAGGCTGTAACAATAATATAGCAGCTATTAAAAAGTTGTTTCATAAAAATTCTTTCTTTGTATGTACCTTAGAAACATAACCAAGTGAAGAGCAATTGTTTCTTTGAGATGTTTTGTGTGATATGAAGAATGTATAAAACTTTTTCTTTGGAATCTTTTGGACTTTTTAATTATTTCTCTTACTTATTTTTTTTCATTTTAGCTCACCAGAACTGATGAAGGACCCAGAACTTAACTTTGATACCAAAGACCTTGGTCCACTTCTGGAGAATAATGTAGTAGAAATGTTACAAGATGAGTAAGAGTCTTTTTTTTTTCTTCTTTTTTTTTTTTCTTTTTTAAATCAAATTCACCCTAAGCAAAACAGTGAAGTCACTAAGGCCCAAGAAGTTACTGAGTGTGAAAGAATAAGAAAAAAGAGAAACATGAAAGTGCGGGAACAATAGAAGAGTAATTAGGAAGACCATAGAGAATGATTAACATTGCATTTTAATTTTTGAAGCTCAAATTTGGCCAGAAAGCATGGAGCTGGAAGAGAGTTTCCACAAGTTAGAAGTGCGAGAGAAGAAACTGTTATCATAGAACTTACAGTTACTAGTCAGTTGAACTGTAAATTGATGAGACCTTGTTGCCAATCTAGTACTGAAGATTAAATTCCTGAAGTCTAGTTAACATAATGAAGAGCTCATCCAAACAAATACCATGAAAGTATTTATAGAAAAGGTACAGGGAAGCCACTTTATGGTGGTGGGAAAGTAACTGAAACCAAGATGCCAGGTCAGGACCAATAATATTGCTGATTCTCCTCTGGATTTTATCAAGAATCTGTAAATAAATAGCAGGATCAATGGACCAAATGTGGTAGAAATATTCTAAGCATGGATGAATGGTAGACTTATAGATATGTAAGATAGATTCTGAAGAGAAAATTGTCTAGCACGACACAGTGAACCAACTTTCTTAGCAGCTGCCCTAGCAATCAATGTAGTCTTTTCACTTCATGTCAGCTGAAAATGTTACTTGAAATTTTTATATATTTTCTATCACACAATAAAAAACTGTTTCATTAATTTTTTTTTTTAATGGTTTTAATGATATTAACAATAATTATAATTGTCACGTGAGCATGAAAACTTATTTTTTTGTTAATTTTCTTTTTTTCATCATTTCACCCCAAGCAAGGTAATAATGCCACTAAGATGCAAAGAGTTACTGGGAGTGAAAGAGAATGAGAAGACTTTAGTGAGGTGACAGGACAATAAAAGAACAGGATTCAGAAAATCAGAAGATGGCGATTGCCTCTGAATTTAAATTTTTGAAGATTGTAGGTTGCAGGGAAGCAAGAAACCAGAAGAGAGTTCTACAGGCGAGTAAAGAAACTCTTAGAATAGAATTTACAGTTGCATCTAATGATTTCAATGGTAAAATGATGCAACTTAATTGCCAATCTAGTGGTGTGCCTAACTTCATGCAGTTGAGGTACCAAAGAGGGAAGCTCATTAGAATGACTGTCATGAAAATATTTATAGAAAAGATAGAGTAACCACAGTCTAAAGTTTATTTACAGCTAAAATTTTTAAAGTAGCAAGATTTTTTTTCTGGCTTCCCAAATCAGTCTCTCTCTCTCTCTTTTTTTTTTTTTTTTTTTTTAAATTTCTGCATTTGACACTTACTTTTCATTATCAGTTTATTTTAAACAAGGTGCTAGGTATTTCATTTGATGCTATCATCAGCCAAATATTTTGCTTTGTTAAGCTCTATCCGTATTTTCCCAAATACAATTCAATCTTAGATAATAAACTAAGCAATTAGATAACATCTTGATGAAAAAAGGTTTAAAAAATCTACATATTTTCAACTGAGCCAATAATGTTTCTTTTTTGGCATTGTCAATGATTGCTTTATTATTTATAATATGTGAATATTATCTTCAACATACAGCTATTTTTCCTTTTACAATAGAGAAGTTACTAAAAATGCAAATGTTTTATGTGTCATGCATTTTATCAAATGTTATCTAGTAAAATTTATTTTAAAATTCCCCCCCCAAAAGCAATTGAACTTTTTGAAATAAAGATTCATATTTAGAAAAAATAAAAAGAATGTATAAGACTTTCTTTCGAGATTTTTGTTTTGTTCAAAACCTTGATAGCTTTTTCTTTTAATAACATTTCATTTTTTTTTTTTTTTTAGATTCTTGAAAAACAAGAGAAAAGACATTATTGAATGGACTCATAATGCCTTGAAAAGTGATGAAAAGGTAGAAATATTTTTCTTAACCCGTTTTATACAGGCAGTAGAGCCAATGAAGTTCCCAAAGTTTTTCAAATAATCTCTACTAAAACAATAAAAAAAATGGCACTACCAACAAATTAATGCATTTATGTTATTCATAACTAAACTGATTAATCATACTTATTATAAAACCCAGATTGTGTGTGTGTCTGTACGTTTATATATTGGATCGGATTTCCTACATTTTTCAACCGATTTCAACAAAACTTCACAGGACTACGTAAAATTACTTTGCAGTGGTTCTGACAGTGCCAAAAATTGGAAAAACACAATTGTTTTTTTTTTTTCGAAATCAATTTGAAAACATGATTAAGAGGCATCGCTGAGAATGAAAGGGGGACAACTCATATCGATTTATATTTATTATAAAACCCAGGTTGTTTGTTTGTGTGTATGTGTATTCGTTTATATATGGGATCGGATTTCCTACATTTTTCAACCGATTTCAAGAAAACTTCACTTTTTTTTTTGGCAGGTAGTGTTTCTTATTGTCTTGCACACTTTTTTCTTTTTTTTTACATTCAGAATGCTTTAAAAATTCCATTTACAAGACAATTGTTTATAATAAAATTCTATTCAATCGGTAGACTCATAACAATTGAAAACAATGTTTTTGTTTGAGTTTGGGTTTGACCAATTCATAAAAAAACAAAAAAAAAACGAAACTAAAAAGAAACTAATTAAGACATGCATGTCTGTCAACCTTAAACAATAATCTTTGTCAATTTTATTTTTCAGTCTTTATGATGGTCGATACTTGATCTATCTCTTACTGTTACATCCCCGGGCAACGCCAGGCTCTACTGCTAGTAATAAATAAACTGATAAGTTTTTCTTTACATCTTTATATCTACAGGACTGGTATAAAGAAAAACTTCCTGATAAAGACAAAGACCAGTATTACAACACACCTTTGGCACTTATAATAATTGATATGGTTGATCAAAATGTAAGTATCTTTAATCACTGTGCAGAAGAGAATAGACAAATAATTCAGAACCAGTTCATGAATTTTTAGGTTCAATTCCTCATTTGTCAACTATATATTAGAAAAAAAAATATTGTTCTGAATTGTCAAATTTAAAAAAAATAAAAATAGGTATAAATTGTATATAAAATAGGTATTTCTTGGATTGTCCTAATTTTAACACAATGTCATATTTATGTCATGTCGTATACGGTGAAAAATGGAGTTGTTGTCAATAGATTGCAAATCTATGTTAACCATTGCATTATGATTAGTGCTCCAATAAGAAGCACACACACATTATAGCCAATATTTGGTACCAGAGTTCACAGTAACTTATCTGGCACAATTTGGTGTGGAGTAATTGGTCATGGTTAAGTATAATTGACAAAATTCTCAACAAACAATAAGAAAAGGAAGAAAAAGAACAAGGCAAAATACTAAGCAAACAATCTATATGCAAATCAGAACAGTAAAGCAACAGTAATAATGTAAAAAGTTCACAAAGTAAGGATGGTGTTCACACAAAAGGGATACAGTCAAGTGATTACAGAAAGAACAAAAATATGGGGGATGAGACTGAGAATTGGCCCATTTTTATTGGCTAGGAAGAAATCCCAGCATGCATCTATAGGTTTTGTCTATAAATTTGTAGAGGAGAACGTTCTTAGTTGTCATTCCTAGAGATTGAAAGCAACAAAGGAATTTTTTACAAGTATCCAATGTTTGCCTTGCTCTTTATTGATTATGCAATCAACTATTCAATGTAATTTAAAATGCCTTAGGAATACTTCAAAATTTAGGAAAATGTGTTCCACACAAAGTTAGAGGAAGCATTGCAGAGTAAAAAGAAATATTTATTTTTGCTTGAAATAAATAATGTGTCATTGATTATAAAAGATAAAAACGAATAACAGTATTTCTCTTATTTGGTTACTATTAAAATAAACAGATTGCATTTTAGTGGCAGTCAGAAAAAAAGTATTTACAATAGAAGCCAGCTGATTTTAACTAATATGAAATCCTTAAAAACTCTACATCATAAAAATATATACTTTACTATATTTCTCCTTTGGCATTATAAACTACAGAGCATCAGAATTTAAGACGAGAAATGTGTTCACTTGTTTTTGGATAAAAAGTGGTATTGACATAATAGAAATCCATTTATAGTCTGATTTTAAGTGCTTTTTGGTTATTTTTTAATATTTTGTTTTGTCTTCATTAACATAGAACCTGAAAAAGTAGATAATACTGTTTATGGTGTTTTGATTAGGCACATAATTCCTTAAAGAGGTTAATTTGTAGGTTATTTAAGACAAATATTCAGCAAATTGAAAATTTTTGACTGGCCATAATTTTTCAACCAATAAAGATTTCATAATTTTCTTTACTTTTTTTTTGTTAATTCAGATTTTTAAATAGGAATCAACTCATTAAAACAAAATATTTTTATCAATATTTCTTTCTGATTGCAAAGCATTTAAACATGTTTTTATCTTTTTTTTCCTCATCACAGTGAAAGTCATTTTATGGTTAAGATAATGGTGATAAAAATGAATTTAATACTAAAATCTAAAATGAAGAAAATTGTGGTTTGAATTAGAACAGCCTACATGTCAGCCAAAAGAGAATCTAGTTAGGAAAAATGTTCTTTGTTTGATAAAATTAAAACTTTATTATTAGAAATTTCAGACAGATATTATTAGAGCAAATAAGTTAACTGGTGATTTTGTTACATGACAACACCTGTTTTTATGTTACTAATGCAATGCAACAATGGAAGTGGGATGGGAAGTTCTGCATTCAGTGCATTATCCTGACCTGTTAAATTCAAACTGTCACTTGCTTGACTTCATGCAACAATCCTTGTCTATTTAGTAATTCCAGCAATTTGAAAAGTGAACATTTCTTCAAAGAATCTATTGTTTCAAAACTAGATTCATTAATTTGGAAGCACAATTTGGCTAATAGATGGCATAAGGTCATAGAAAAAGAGGGAATACTTTGATAATGATAATAATAATGCTATGAGTTTGTCTGAATAAAAGATTTTGTCAAAAGATAGTGGAAATTTTTGCATCAATTTAAAATAAGTTGGTTTCTGAAGATTTATGTAAGCTATTCAAAAAAAAAGAACTTTATTTAATCAAGGATATTGTACGAGTTATTTCCCTTTCTGGTAAGATTTAATAATTGCCTTAAACAGAGATTTATCACCACTGCTTCTTTTAGGTTATACCTACAAATATTAGTTTCAAAATTCTGTTGATGATAATGAGAAAACAATTTAAGAAAAGCAGCAAAAAAGCAAAGGATGTTGAAAAGTTTCCTGCTTGACACACTCCCCAAAAACTAACTAAATATCAGAATTTCTTTTAGAAGAGTGGCCTGTTTAGACTGAAAATTTATTTGGCACCTTCTCTTATATATATATATATATATATATATATATATAATTTCATTTTTGGACACTTGAATTAGTCTTTTGTAAGTCAAATGGCAAGTCAGGCAATACAAAGAAGTAATCAAGAATTATTTGAATTGATAATTTTCTTCTTAAGTTAAACTTGTGTAAATTTAATTATAAAGTAAAGAAATGACAATTGTGATTAGTTTTATTTGTTTTTTTTTTCATTTGTTTTATATGTTTTATAAATTTAATTTTTTTATTTGTTCAACTTTTAGAAAGATTTATTTCTGATAACTAATCATTCAGAAAAGCATTTTAACATAATTGGGTTGGGAGCCTGAAATACAATCTCTGCACATCAGTCCCTGAAAAAAGAGGAGACACTATCATAAATTAATAGCATTAAAGCAGAACAAAGTTGTTTGTAACATTTTATATATATATATATATATATATATATATATATATATATATATATATATATATATATATATATATATATATTTTATATGGATTTGATAATGTAAATAATTTTGTTTATGTAAACAACTTTTGCCTTTTAATAATTCTATTAATTAACTATGGGGAGTATTTTATGTGTATGTAGATGTATTTTATTTTTGTCTATTCATTTTTGTTTTTCTTTTCATTTTATGTTTCTCACTGGTTCAAAATTATTTCTATTTTTACTTGGCAGTTAAAAGTAGCTGAAATTGTCAGTGCAGATCTTGTCAAAAAAGTCCTTCAATTGTTTGTGGAAAATCTTAGTGGCTTTGCAAATGAATATAAATGTAAGTTTTTTTTTCTTTTTTTTTTCCTTTATTTTACTTTGCTTAATAATCCACACTTTTAAAAACAAATATTAATCAAGACAGTGATATATTTGTTGATTGCATGTCCCTTCTCACTCTGATATATGGTTTACTAATATATATATATATATATATATATAAAATATAATGTGTGTATGTATGTGTATATGTTCTTGGTAGCATTTGCTTATATTTTGAATGTAGTACATCTAAGAAAACAAGCACACAATGACAAGTCTATAAAAACAGTGAAAATTACTCAAATTTCACATTTAAACTAAAATTAACAAAATAAAAAGGCTTGTAAATGAATACCCTGACCCCAGAGCTAGTCAGATCGTTGCTCACACTAAAGATGCTAGTGCACAAATGATGCATACATCCAGATGTTCACCACTAATTTGAATATTTGAGTTGATTCATATAAATAGGTCAGTAATCCCATCTAGTATTAGTCAAACATCAGATATGATTATGTTACTCCAAACTGAATTCAGATGAAGATGTAAAGAAAAACATCTACTTCATCTATAGATGACAAAAAAATAGTTGTACATTTGCAAAGAACCAAACAACTGTGGAAGAATTCATTAAATGTATTTATGCACACCAGAGAAGAACAGAGAATATGAAAGTAAATACTATATTATCTTGGATAGCATTGATATATATATATATATATATATATATATATATATATATATATATAAAAATGTGTTTTCAAACATTTTAAATAATATCAACAAGTTCTTTTCAAATTTTCAAATTATTTGTTTTATGCTATCAGTAAATTTTTCAAAGTTCATATTTATTTTATATTATTCTTTTCTGAGTACTTTCAATTGTTGCTATATTGATATTCAAAAAAAAAAAAAATACGCATAAAAATTTCAGTTTGAGTGATCTGAAATTTGTTCCATCAAATGTGCAACACTGGAATTAAAATAACATCTGCATAAATAGACACAGGATGATCCTTGAAAAGTAATGTAGCAACATTTGAAAGTACTCGATAAGAAAATAATATGAAATAAAAATAAAACTTGGAAAAATTTTATAAAATAATTGATAGACAGATTGTGTCAATATTATTTAGCCAAATATGTTTGAAAGAATTATTGCTGCAGAAATACGCCATTTATGTGTATATATATATATATATATGAAGTGAACACTGGGGTCAGTGCTAAGTGGCAACAGCCTTTCATGCTTGAACTCAATCTTCAGGCTTGAAGATTGCGTTCAATCAGGAAACAGACTCACTGCTTGGTGTCGAGCTCAGTGTCCACTTTTATATTTACATACACTCTATTGCTGATATTGAGAACTTTTAACCATAAATATAGCATACACACCTTAAAACTATATTTTTTATCATATAATCAGCTGCCACCCAAAATTTCAGGAAATTAGAATGGCACATGCAAACTACATGTAATTTGTAGACTTTTGGTATAACTCTTTGTGAGCAGACCCAAACACCTATTCTTTCCACAGTCTCTTTTTCTCTTGAAGCAGTACTTCAAAGAAGAGGGTGGAAACTAGTTATTAAGTTAAGCAATGTTTATTCATGGTTAAATTCCAAAAGTCTTTGATACTTCATGTACATTGACATGCAAAACTTTTGGAACACATTGGCATATTAATTATTTTTGTTAATTTTCCCCCAAATCAATAAGGATTTGCAGTATACTTTTCTCAGTCCATTTTGTGATCTTTGAGCAAAACTGAAATCAAGTTACTGCATTTTTGTTAATACTGTATGATGGATGATAGTTTCTTAAGCATTGTGATGCTGGATGATAGTTTCTTAAGCATTGTGATGCTGGATAAAGTCATGCAAAAATATTGGGCGATCAAAGAGCACTGTCATGCTTAAAAATGTCTTCCTCTTCATAGTCTGGCAGAAGATTAGACTGTAGTAAACTAATATAGTTTTCTTTCTTTAGGTTTTCATCAACTCTTACAAATTTTTTTCTACCATTTCTTAGAGACAATCCCACACTATTACATATCCACTATGAAATTTTACTCTCTTTGTGGTACGCCTTACATTGTTTCTTTCTATCATTGGTCTGTTTTGCATTCATTACTAAAAATTACTTTTTATCATTTTCCAGCAACTCATGTTAAATGTTCTCTTGACTGCTTCAATCTTCTATTCCAATGGTTTTTACTTAATGTTTTTTTTTTCTCATAAGTTAGTCATAAATAAACAACAAAATTTTTTAAATAAATGCATAATTTAAAAAAGCACTATTCAGATATAAAAGTTATCGCCCTTGAATTTTCTAACTTGATTTTTCAATGAAATGAACCATTCAACGAAGTGAAAACTAGATTTAATGCTTTCACTATTATGATTGTCATCCCACCATTTTACATATCTGCATACTCATGACTGTTACTAATTTTACAGACATTTTTAGTGTGCTTTCTTTTCATTAATTCTTTACAGTTGAAATGAAGGTCTACAAGGAAAAACATCTTGGCAATCGCAGGGAATCCATTTATTTTCCTCAGTACATGGTAATTACACTCTCTCTCTCTCTTGATTTTAGATTTTTAATTTTGCATTCTTTCAGAAGATTTGGAATTTGGAATTTCTAAATCTGTTAATTATAGTATGGGATTCTCATTTAACATTATTCATATAAAAAAACTTATCTTTGCTTTGCACTCTGCAGTTTTATTTTAAATATATTGAGTAGAATATAGATATAGTAGATTTTTTGGAAGTTTCATAATAGAGATAAACTAGTGTAGAATATTTATTGTCATTGTTACTATGGAAAGATAATTTAAAAGTAGCTTTAATCTAATAATAATATAATTCAAACATTTTCTCATCAGAATCATTATACAATTTAATAGAAAATTTTTCTTATAGTTTTCATTTTTACAAATTGATTGAAACTTAAAAAAACAAAAACAGTAAAATAATTTTAAAATGATTAATTTTCTTACATAAAGGATACTCATTATTATTATTATTATTATTATTAGTTCCATCTTATTCTTCTAACCTGTTAGGTTTGATAAGCTCTTTGACTGTGCAATCAGAAAACTTTAAAATAAAGAAATAGCTCCTGATTTTCTCTCTCATTCCACACCTCAAGAACCCATCTTTTATGTCTTGTTTTGAAGCTAGTCTTAATTTTTGATTTTGTACAATTTGCTCAAACAAAGAGTTTATGAAACCAGAATGTTGTAATAATTATTAAGATGGAGTAAAGTTGTTTTTTTAATCCATTCATCCCAAGGAGGGCAATAATGCCACTAAGGCGCTAGTGGTTACTTGGAGTGAAAGAGAATGAGGAGACTTTAGAAGAAACTGGAAACCCAATCCTAAACAGGAAACCTGGGATAAACCTGTACTCCTGTTCAAAAGACTGGGGAGGAGTGTGAACTGGATGATATATAAAACTATATTTATATTGTAACTTTAATTTGAGGCTTGTTTTAAACTTGCAGATTTGTCATGTGAACAACTGTCTAGCATTTGCTGATTATGTTAAACGGCTTCGTAAACTGTTCCTCGAGTTGGAAGGTCAAGAACAGGTGAAAGGAGAAGAGGAAGAGGAAGATGCCATCATGATCCGCAAAGATCAGTTCTTTCAACTTGCAGACAAATTCATTGATGTGGGAGAATTTGGGTATGTATTTCTTCTTCATCAACATTTCCCATCACTTTGGGGCTTTTTCAATCTGTGAGAATTATTTATGAATTATTTATAAGTTGATTTTGTTAACTGTTATACCACAAAGAGTTGCTCTCACTGTTTCTGCTCATAGATATTTTGTGTATCAATTAATTTATTCTTCCACTGGACTAGAGTATAGTTACCTTTTTACACTACTCAACCCAAGGATTGAACTTATAACTGCTAGGAAAATTCCACTCACTTACCCAGTGCATTTATCCACTAGGCCAAGTGCTTTCCAGCAGTACTAGTTATGTCAAAGTTAGGTTGGCAATAAAACCATAAAATTCTAATCTGTATTCATTAACTAAGCATTCTATTATAATTGTGCTTGTCCATCTCTTTGTTTACACAACTGTTACGTCCTGCCAATACCTCATAAATAATGGACTATTCCAATTTGATCACGTGGAAAGAGGGGAAAAACACTAATTGCTTTCAGTGAGAAAATGAAAGAAAGAAGAGAAGACAGAAGTAGAGAGAGATAATCAGATTGAGCTGATATGATCAGATACTAGACTTTGATCTTAGTCGAAATCTTAGCTAGGAAGCGAGTGTATTTACCAGATTGCCCACAACACTACCAGAAATGACACAAGGTCGAGGTTTAAAGTGAGTTTAATGACAATACTGCAGAAGAATTCAACCCCCTCCCCCTTGGTACTTCCCCTTTTTGAGAATGCCACATGTAGCAGGCAATGAACCCAGCACTCTCCCGAAGGAGATGTAATGCGTGGAGGGGAAGCCACCTGATGCTTGGCCTAATATTATTTGAAATGACCCTGGCCAAAAGGCCTAGGCATCAATAGCTACTGCAATAAAAGCACATTTTTCAGATGCACAGTAGCAAAACCAAGTAAGGTAATTGCCAAAAATTCAGTTTTTGTTGCCTTGCTTGTGGTGAAATGATTAAAACAAAAAACTGGAGACAAGATTAACATATAAAATGAATTTTAAAAATGTGGTTTCATATAATACACAAATCCTTTGAAAATAACAAAACTTTTCTTAGTTAAAAAGGAATTATATGGATTCTTACACACTTTGGCATATGAAAATATCAAAGAAATCCAAGATGAAGAAAAATCTAATCGTGTTTCGGTTAGTCATACATACAGTTCAAGTCTTGGGAATAGTTATGGTTATCTTTGGATTATCAAGTCAAAGTTGAAGATCTTTATTTTGCCATATAAAATAATATTTTTGTGTTCACACCAAAGCAGAAATGGAAAGCAAATAGGCAGATAATTTATTCCATCATAAAAACTACAGATTCTTGTGGCTTATATTCTGTTTGCTTTTTCTTTCAGATTGGATGTTTTGGTGGAAGTTGTGTTGTTAGACTTGCGTACCAGTGGCCATTTGGATTCCCTTATATCCAAGCAGTGGTGAGTTTTTGCAACATTCTTCCTTATCTCAATTGCTAAGTCCTTCAAATCAACAATTACTGTTGTTCTTGTGAACAAAGGTGAACAGTGTTTAAATAAGTTCTTTTATAAAAACAAACACTTTTTAATAATTTTGCTAAATGTTTCAATTTTAACTTTGGGTAAAATCTTCTATATTGTAATTTTGTTTCATTTTTTTAAAAATTATTTTCAAACATAACTTGATTATTAAAAAAACTTGAGACAAATTTAAAATTATTAAAGATGATGATAACTATTAAAAAGTAATGAAAAAGGCATGTTTGTAGATAATCAATATTTGATCAATCCCAATTTTTGTTGATCAAATATTGATTATTTGCAATTATATTTTTCTGGGTTATATTTATCTGCAAGATTCTTTTAATATGAGCTGTCAAAAATGACAGTATTATTTGAATATGGATAAATTAGATATAAAATATATATAATTTATAGTATAAATAGTATTATACTATAAATGATTTTATTGCAAGCATCAAAATGCATATGTTAAATGAAATATTTTTGATAGTTTTCTGCAATTCATCCTACCTTCTGTTTTTTTTTTCCTTTTTTCTTTACTAATTATAAAACAATGTGGTAATGCAACTAAGACATCAGCTGCAGCCACAGTGATAAGGCCAGCACTGGTTGCTTTGCCCCAGCAGATATACACACCTCATTTTTTTTCTGTGTGTCTGCAGTACTCCCCTTCCTTTTTTGTTTCCTCCACAAACAACCACAACAGTTTTACTTTTTTTTTTCTTTGTAAATAAGTAATATAATATCAATATCGTGTAGTTTCAGTCAGGACCAGTCATTACTTATTCACATCTTAGTATTTCATCTGTTTATGTTGAATTGTTTTTGTGGAGTTGACAAGTCATTCACACATTTTCCTTACAAAGATTCAACAAATCTTTCTTTTTTTTTTTTTTTTTTTTTTTTTTTTTCAAGATTGGTAAATAAAATCCAATTGTTTTACTTTTTTATAAAAACTATGTTTATAATAGTGTGGTGTTGACTTATGATTTCTATTCAAATATATATCTTATATATAAAGTACAGTGTTTGTGTGTGTGTCCAAGAAACTCCTCTGCTCCCACTGGTCTGATTCCAGTGATTGATAGCTCATTAAAAAAGCCCTAGAAAAGTTGAGCTCAGATTCAGGGTTGCCAGATTATGCGAGGTTAAAAATATATTTTAATATATTATACTAGCCATTATCGTGGCTTTCAATGTTCAAGGGGAGTAACTCTTATTTTCCTTTTGTATCCAAAATTGCAGTGCATATTTTATTATAAACTAGCTTAAAAGCTGCTCTATCGGGCAGCATTTAAGCTAGCTATTGTGGAGGACTCTTGGTTTTGCTATCATCACAATAGCTAGAGAGGATTAGATGCAATAGGCATCAATAAACTACAGAAGAATTAAAAATTGATCACTGCATTTAAGTATTGAATTAATGTTTAAGCTTACCCCTTAATTCTTCTGCTGCCACTTAATTTAAAGATGATTTGATGTATGTAGATCCTTATTTTCTGTACAGACAATTATTTTTATTTCATGGTTGACAGAAAAGGGACAATTTATAAGATAAAATTAATATAGCATAAAGATGGGAAAATAGAAATTAGAAGTAGTTGTACATTCAACATTAGAAAAGTTAGAGAAACATAATTGCTAATTAAGTAAAATGTATATTATGGAATCTATATGAATAAATTTGAAATTGGAGCACAATTATCCAACAAATTATAGTAATTTATATGCTAAAAGCTCAACATCTGTATTATATATTATCTATTTCTAGGTGATATCACTCATCAGGTTTAACTAATTTGCATATTGATTTTAAAAAAAGTATATTTCATTAATTAACTGTCCTTCATTAGTGTTCTTTTATTCAAGGATTGTTTTGGTTTTCATATCAAAAATAGTTCTGTTTAGGAATATCGTCTTATATAGTGCAGAAAAGTGTTTGAAATTTGCATTTTACTTGACCTTCAACAAGTTGGCATCTATTTGTAAAACTTTCCTTAACTATAACATTCCAATTTATGAATGAAATGTTCATTTCAAATATTTCAAGTAGTGAATATATCTTACTTTGCAAATTGATAGTGAGCAGGTGAAACGTTCTACTTATAAATATTAGGTTGTCTTCTATGATATTTATAAATCAAACATTTGCTGAATTTTGTAGCTATGACAAAAATCAACAATAGATTCTTTTATCTTTTCATATTTAGAATTATTAAATAATTTTCTGACAGTTTGCAGTACCAGATTAACTTAGTACAGGGCTTTTTATATATGTTTTAAAGTAGCACTAAATTAAAAAATACACAATTATTGTTAATCATTTACTACCATAGTGATACAGTTTATAAAACAAGTAAATATTTAACTTCTATCATTATAAATGCAGAAAAATATGAGACAAATGAATCTAACAAGATATTTGAGTAGTTTAATGGCTTCAATGTAATTTTTACCTGAAATGATCATTAAAGATTCACCTCTCCCTGACACATGACTATTAATACTGCCAGATTGTACAATCTTTCTGAATAAAGTGTAGCTGCTCCAGGAATTGTTCTTTAAAACATTTCATGAGGAATTGTTCTAAAACTGTTTATTTACTAATTTGTAAATAGTTTTAGAAGAATTTAACTGAAATGTTGGATTTTACAACTATTATAAGAGATTTGAACTATACTAAGAAAGAAAAATTTAATTACATTTATGATACTATTTTAATGAAAGTATTTATGTTATTGTTTTAGAGAAAATATTTAGAGAAAGAAGGTCTACTCTCTCTAACGCTCTTCAACCTGTTTCTGGAGAGAATTATGCAGGAAACCCTCCACAATCAAAACACTTCTATCTCTATCAGTGGTAGATCTCTGCAACCTGAATTTCACAGGCAATATTGACCTTGTTGCAAGACCTGACCAACAAACTCATTGAAAGAACCACCAGATATGGAATGGAACTCAACACAGAGAAATCCAAAGTAATGGTGAATAGTACAAGCAACACCAGTGCTAGTGTCACCATTGAAGGAAGCGTCTAGCTTCAAATACTGTTAAAAGATGGCACCTGCATCAGAGAAAATCCATATATGGTAGTGATTTCCAGACTTTAATGGATAGGGAAGAGCAACATCAGCTTCCATACCAAGTTCAAGCTCTACAGATCTCGCTGGTTGTATTCATTCTCCTCTATGAGACTTGGACACTCCTACTTGAGGAAGGATAAAGGATCCAATTATTCGAGAATAAATGCTTGAGAAAGCTCCTTCACATCTCCTACTTGGAACATAAAACTGCTTCCTTAAGTGTATATCATGTATGGTAATCTTTTTTTATCCTCCCCAACTAGCACAAAATTTACATCACCATTTTTTTTCTTGACAAGGACAACTTAATTTTTGGCTTGTGAGCAAGAGTGAGTTTATCGCATTAGAATTTGTAAGTTGGATTTTTTTTACCTTATCTTATTTTGCCTCTTGGGCTTTTGATTTTTGATTTCTATACTACTCGTCTTTCCTACCTTTTGGATTTGTGATACAGACTTTTTCGCTGTCCTTGTTGTTTTTGGATGTTTAACAGATTTGGGTTTCTTCTTCCCTTAAGTCCCCCCCAATAAATAAATTATTCAGGAGATTGATGATAATTATTACTGGATAAAAACAAAATATCTGCTTAAAAATAATTTCTTTTTCAGGTTGACTGGTGATGAAGTAGTAAACACAATTTGTGTTACTCTCGAAGACTACAACAATGACTTCCAGCATCTTCGACCTAAAGCTTATGACAAAGTTATTGAGAAAGCTGAACAAAAGGTTTTACAGGAATATTTAAAGTCAATCCTACAACGGTAATACATTGTTTGTTTTTTCTTCTTTTTGATAACTCGGAATCTGCATGTTTATATTATTTTAATTATTTCTTTGCTCTTGAAACCTGAAAATTCTTTGAATAACCATACACAATTCTGAATCAAAAGTCATTTTGTGAAATCAGACAATGCAAAAGTCTAAAATAAAGAAACTGAAGATAAACGTAAGAAAGAATTTTAATAGAATTTATTTTAACTATCAGCATTTGTAGCCAAGGATTTATAAGAGACTTGCAGAAAAGCTTTAAAATATTACAATTCTTGTTACTTGGGCAGATAGATATCTCAAAATCTATTTTGTCATATAATAATTACATTTTTTTTTTTTTTTTAAATGATCTCCTTTTTATCTCCTCTTATTTTGGTCCATATTTATGATGAAATTTTTAATAACTTTAGGAAATTAAATCTTTTTGTTTTTTTTCTGTCATATAATGTGCATTTTCCAAAAATTATTTAAAAATAAACAAAGCCAGCAATCTTATAGTTTGGGGCTGACCACCAGGTTGAGATGGTTGGTATCCAGAGTTTCTGGTGATGATGCTAAGACAATCCCAGAATTAAATCTGCACTTTCTAACAGAAGATACAGTAAATTATATTTTATGACCTAAGAGTGTCAGAAGGATTTGAGCCATAAACCTATAGAAAACTAAAATATATTAAAAGAATAATCAAAATAATACCTGTAAAATTAAACCAAAATTCTTGTAAAATTAAATTCAGTTATTTTACTCTAGTTTTGTCTTTGATGAATTTATGGTTCAAGAATTTATTTTTGTTATCTTATTTATCATCATTCCAAAATACAAGAAGGTATTTGGGGAAAACAAGTCTGTGTATCTTAAAAAAGGTTTACTTCTTCCCATGGTTGATAAATAATGTTTATTTATTTGACAGGAAAATCTCCTTCAAGAATTATGAAGAGAGAAAAGCAGCTGCTGAAAAGATTTGCAAAGAAGCGGAACAATTAGAAAACCTGTTTAGTAAATTGACAACAACCAAATCAAAGGTAGATGCAAACTTTCTCTCTCAATCTCTTGCAATAAGCATTTCACTTGTTATAAGGCAGTACATTAGAACAATCAGGAAACTCAACTAAATGCAATAAATTCATGGATTTCTTTAGTTTTGTTCTAAGAGGAAGACTCATCATAACATGATGGTTTATTTGCACTGATATCGTTATCTTTGTTAATTCAACCACATTGCTCTGGCTGTTTATTTAAATATTATAACAGTCCTGAGCATAATGATAAACTACATCCAGCAACAAAGCCTCTGATTGGGAGATTGTAGATTTTGAGGAGTGTGGAATCACCTCTTAATTGCTGCTGTTTCCAGATCCAACCTGACCTGGGGTGGTAGTACCTGTTAGGGTCCCAGCTATGGGCAAATAGTGAAAACAAAAGAAAAACACTGTGAAAGCATAAAAATACAATTTTATAGAATGACTGACAATACATTTTATCTGTAGTTGAAGTCATACAATTACATTTAAAATGTATTTAGTTGAAGCCATAAAATTGTATTCAAAATATTTAGATTTTGACATTAAATAACCCCTAGAGGTGTTGATATACCACTAAACAAAATAACCAACCATGAAAGAACTCTCTCATGACATTAAATCCATATAATATCCAACAATTTCTTAAAGAAATCAAACTGTATTCCAAAATATAACTTCAGCAAAACTACAACATAAAACACATCTCGATATTGAGTCACCCCCCCCCCCACGAGGGGGTGTCATGTAGCACAAGGCCTTTTTAACATGAATTCCCGAGCCATTAGGCTCGGCCAAAAATAGTCCATTTGAACCAGTATAAACGGGTTCAGGGCAGTTTACCTCCCCCAAGGAGACTCCGCCCTTGGCGTAGCCTCCTTCGGGTTCCTCCCGCCCGTAGGAAGAGAGTTCAAACCGAGCAGTCTGTTCAAAAGTGAACTACTGACATAAAACACATCTCTCACACCCCCCCTAGTAATCATGTTCCCAACAAACCTGTATATGCACAAAAGCTGAGTATCATCTACCATGTATTCAATTGTGAAAGAAGAAAAACATTTATTTTTATTACTTCAAAGTGTGGAAAAAAAGTGGGGTGACTTACCTGGGGTTTGATCAGCTGGATTGATTGAGGAGTGAAGTGGGGACTGGCCCTGTGACTTGTCTTTAAGTGTGGGTGCCACGTCCACCTCCTCTTTTATAGTCTCCTACCATAAGAGTGGGAGGATTGAAGCAGTTACAATGTTATAAAATACCTCCCCTTACTCATTTTTTTCCCCACTTGACGACAGACATCAGTTGTTAATTTTTGTCAGTGGCTAGCTACTTAATTTTTGTTACCAGACCCAGGTTGGGAGTGGATTGCGAAGGTGTTGTTTTCTTTCGCAACCTCGGTTTAGCGTTACCTCCAACTCGGAGTCATCTTTTAGGTAGATATTTCTTTTCAACAAAAGCTGCCAAGGAAATCAAATTTCAACATTAAATGACTCATAAGGAGTTGATATGCCGTTAAACAAACATACAAATACTAAATATTATAGATTATAAAAATCTAATCACCAGATGACAATTAGAGAATTGACCAGCTGAATGATTGCAATAATAGTTATGAAGATGAATATTATTCAGGCTAGTATCTTCAGTTTATTTTTGTTTCTTCCCCCATGATTCAGCTGGTCATGTCTCCAATCTTCATCAGATGAATCTAATCTTTGGCAAATAGCCATAAATAAAGTCTTAATATCATCTGTTGAATTTGTGTTGACAATCGAGATTTTCCGTTTCCAAGCTTAAATATAACCTAGTAAAAAGAGTAATTCATGCTTATAACATTACCAAATCTAGCCATTTCAACTATAAAATGATGAGACCTTACTGCCAATCTAGTACTGCACTTAAATTCATAAAGTCTAGGTTTCAAAGAGGAAAGCTCATCACAACAGTTACTATGAAAATATAGAAAAAGCACAGAAGCACTGCATTATGGTACTGGGAAAATGATTAAAGCCAAGATGACAAGTCATGACCAATAATATTGCAGATTCTTCTTTGGATTTTATCAAGGATCTCTAAATATATAGCAGAAGCACTAGACCAGATATGACAACAATATTCAATGTATTGATGAATGGTAGACTTATAAATATGTAAGATAGATTCTGATTAGAAAAATTGTCTAGCATGACACAGTGAACCAACTTTCCTAGCAGCTGACCTAGCAAATGATTCCAAATCTTTCCATTTCATGTTAGTGGAAAATGTTAGTCTGTTAAAGCAAGCTTTAAAAATGCAGAATATCACTATTTCTTTGATACATTAACTGAAATTATGATTAGATAATTATTCGGCCTAATTTTGATCTGTTATGATTTCAAAAGAAAGTCTGTATAAATCTCTTCTAATAAAATTCATCCTATTTTATGAGGTTTGGAAAGATAAACTATAACTTGCTTGCCAATGTACTTAATCCCATCAAAAATGTTGTATAATTGTTTTTATTTTATCTTTAAGGATTCATTTGCTGTCTTAACCATGTTGGCTGAGGTAATACGTCTCCGGGACACATCTATGATGTCTCTAGAAATTACAGTAAGTTCAATTTCTATATTTCTAATATTATGCACAACTCCTGGTGGAAACCAAATAATCATGCCTGTCATCGGCCCGAGACAGTGGTAACCAATTAGCTGACTCTTCACTCATTAGCACATGACTTGTTTTGTCGCTGTTATCGTGTTGGTGGCATGGTTCCACTTGACTTAGATGGCGTTTGTCTGTTTATGACCATTCACTCCTTTGTCACGTGTTTTTGATTTCAGAGGATGTTGAAGGAAACTTGTACAGGGGTCCAACACTATTTTTGGGACACTTTGAAAAGTGTGCTTAAAGGTGTTTTTTGCTGCCGAGAGCTTTTGTGTTGATGAGTAGGTAACTGTCCATGTCATGTAGATGACAGCAGTAACTGTCCATTAATGGTATGAACATTGATTGATGGGTTTGTCTTTGGTTTCATGTTTTCTTTATTTTTACTTCAACTTAGGCGACACAATTTTTCGGGCATGAGACAAATTCCAGGGTTTTTAATGATTTAGTTGTCGAACGTCTACAATATGCAAATTTTCTGCAGGTAAATTGTACCCTGACCATTACATTTGAGTATTTTTACCATTCGTTGTGAAAATGTATTAAAATCCTGAAGAAGAATGCATTCAAAAGAAGTCATCAGTTTGGTCCAAAAGAAGACGGGCTCAGCATCCGAAAGATCGCCGCTGAGATGAAGCTACCGAAGTCAACAGTTGAATATATGCTAAGTACAGACTATGAGCGGAAGAAGAAGAGAGGACGGAACAAAACAATTTCCAAGAGAACAGAAAGAAGAATGAAGAGGAGTGTTACAAGGTTGTTATCATCTGGAGAAAAGGTGACAGCGAAGAAAGTAAAGGAGAAACGGGAACCTGACGTCAGTGTTTGAACTGTACAAAGAAAGCTACACGAAATTGGACTTAAGTATGCTAAAATCAAGAAAAGAATTACACTAACGAGAAAACACAATGAGGCAAGGCTGGGAAGTGCCAAAAGATGGATAACAAACCATGTCGACTTTAAGAAAGTGATATTTACTGATGAAAAACGTTTTAAGTTCAATGGACCTGATGGGTGGTGTACATGGTCGAGAAAGGGTGAACATGTTATTCTCAACAAGAGACAGATGGGAGGGGAAGGAGTCATGGTTTGGGGTATGGTATTTCCGAATGGAAACTTGTGGCTCGAGTGGTTAAATGGACGTCAAAATAGCTTGAGCTACAGAGAACTTTTGGAAAAGAGAGCCCTACCATTCACAGAAAAAGAAATGGGAAGTAATTTTATTTTGCAGCAAGATAACTGCAGCATCCATGTGGCCAAATCAGTGAAAAATTGGATGTGTGAAGCAAATATAACTACTCTGGAATGGCCTGCAAGAAGTCCAGACTTAAATTTAATTGAAAACATATGGGAAATGCTTGCAGAGCTTGTTTACGATGGGCCAGAAATAACCAGAGAGGCTGAACTGTGGCAGCACATACAAGATGCTAAAAATAGACTGCTAGAAACATGAAGAGACGTTATTATCAATATTTACAAACATTATGAAGATAGACTGATAGAGGTCATTGAAAAAAAGGGTGCTGCCAAAAACTATTAGCATTGTTTCTGCAATGTCCGAAAAATACTGTTGCCTGTGTAATGTGAAAATTTGCAAAAAAATAAAAATACTTCTAATTTGAATTCTGCTTTTTCATTTGTAGTATTGAAACAGTTTTTAAATGTTATTGCCATTACACTAAAACAGTACAGACTGTCTGTGCTACCTAAAACTTGAAAAAATAAAGTGTCTGAAAAATAGTGTTGGCCCCCTGTAGTGAAGATGGTTTGATCCTTTGGGAACTACACAAAAAAAAAACCTTGTTGTTATAATCAAATTACACTGAGATCCCTTCAGAGTCTGCTGCTTTTTTTAGTAGTAACTTGAATTTCTAATTTCTTGCCATGATGTTTGGCAAGGTCTTTTTGTCAGGAGGTCTCGGCGAATGATGCAGATTGATTTTTTTTTTTCCTTACCACCTATATCTAAGGGAATCTGAATTAATATCTGGACATAATATTTTCTCTGGACCTGAAATTATCTTTTCTTCTTGGTGGGGTTGATTTGTAACATATGTCTTTATTTTATCTGACATCTTCGCTGATACCTTAATGATCTCTTTCTTATCAGTGAGGGAAGGACAGGCAGTCTCAGGTCTGCTCAATTTTACTGAATTTTTTGGAGTTAAATCTGGGTTTAATTCTCCTTGGAATTATCTCAAAACATGATTTTTCAATGCATTTCATTTTTAATATGCTCAACTTTTCAATCCATCTTCCTGCAATTTCAACACTTATCATCCAGTTAGTAGACTCTTTCCTATTCCTTCTTTCTTTCCTTCCTTCCTTTTATCAACCTCAGGAGGTCTCAGTGTTGCAATATCTATTAGGGGTGACTTTCTTTTGAATGATTTTTAATTATACTGAGATGATCACTATTTTACACACACACACACACACACACATGCATGTTTTTGGTTAAATAGTAGGGCAGATTAGGTTCTTTAGTCTAGAACAATGACTGCCTTCGATCCCCCCCTCAGCCCCCACCTTTGACAATATACCCTAGATCAGTGTGGTAGGGTAAGGCCCATTACTCCCCATATCTTTGTTGTAGACACAAATGTTGGTTTCATAACAGTAGTTGTATGAAATTGTCACACACACACACACACACACACACACACCTGGGGGTTACTGATAATTTCTCAGGCTGATGCACTTGCCAGAATCTGACCAAACTTTTTTTTATCTGAGATAGAAGTACTGCTCCATATGGAAATAATTCCAACATTTTGGCAGGCATAATGCGTTTCTAGAACTTTTCAGTTCTTAAACAATTCTCATTTCTCTCAACCTTTGGATGTGGATTTCTCTTAAAGCCCTTTATACACTTTTCAAATAGACAGGGACTAAAATAAAACAATGTTTGCTAATGTAGAACCTAAAAATTATTTGTTACAATCTATCTTTGAAATAAATAAACAACAAATTCTGTCTGTTTGTCCATTTGTCTGAACCCCCACTTCAAACTCTGGCCACACTTGCTCTACATAGACATATTATACCTTTTTGGAATCCGGATGATCCCGGGATTGAAAATCTGCCCTTTGTCTGGTGCTTAAACATCCAGCATTGGGATTTGTGTTCAGGTGAGAAGGGGACAGTTAAAAATTCAAATTTTAAAATAACTGAAAAAAAAATTAGTGATTTTAAAAGTTTTTCATTTATATTGAATTTAAAGTAACACAAAAATTTTGTAAATTTCAATTTTTTTGTTTGAAATTCAGTTTAAAATATCTCCAAAACTTTGAATTGAAAAAATCGGTTTTATTTCTTCAAAATACCAAGAAATCAGAGTTAAAGTGAGAGGTTTCATGACATGAGATTTTGAAGTTCCACAGAGTTTGTGATTGGAAGAATTCAATTTTTGGCCCAAATCAGTCTTTTGGCCGGAATTGGACTTATCGCCCAAATCAGAGTTAAAGTGAGGTTTTTGAAGTTCCATGGATTGAATTGAAGAATTCAAAGATATTTCTTCAAAATTATCATTGTTGTTTTTCTAAGCTGGAACAGTGGCCCAGTTAGCCCCTACACAGTACCTAGCTTAAAAGTCTGCAAAGATGGCAGCTTTTAAGCTCATCATTAATAAAATTCCCTACAGCATTTTTTTTCTTTTTTTTTTTTTTAGAAATAATAAAGAAGAATTTTAAATATTTGATTTTATTATATTTACTTTAATGTTATAATTTTTTTATCATTTCCTTTCTCTATTTTTACAGGGTTTGGCAAAAAAATTTCCAGACATGCGCCGTGATCAGTTGATCAATTTGTTGCTTTCCCGTGGAGATTTGTCTCGATCAGAAGCTCAACAGGTGATCATTTTTTTATCTTATGTTGTCTGATTCATGTTTTAGAAGAATAAAAAAAAAAGTTTTTAACTAATATGGCTCAAGGAAATGAATTTACTGCTTTTATTTTGATATCTTTTCCTTTCAAAATAGATTAGCTTTGATTCACTGAAAAGTTCTTTTAAAAATAATAAAAAGAAAATATTTGATGCTAAAACTGATTCATTCTCATTTGCCAAAGAATAGAAAAATAGTTCTGAAAAAAGACACTCCTTTACTTCTTTGTCCACCTTGTGTTATTGTCAGAACAAGAAAACCAGGATATTTTGCTTCAATGTCTCTATTTGCTATTAACACATTCAAAGGAGTTTACCTGCTGAATGCTTAATTCCTTTTCAAGCTCAAATATTGTATTTAATGAATATCAGGTAGGGCTTTAATTCTATTTTTAAATGAAATTTTACAACACTGGATGCTTTCAAATTCAACAGTTTTCTTAATTGAGTCAAAAGTTGCATTTATGTCCTTAAAAAGTGTGCAGTTTTTTACCATTTTGAATTTTATAATATTTCTCTTCTCACTAAGAATATTGGGCAAAAATTAAATCCAATTTTATGTCTGAGGTGAAAAAAAAACAAATACATTTGTTTACCAAATGATTGTATTAGTTTAAAAAAACCTTGAGTAATTTTTAATATTTTCAAAAGCCGCCTATGTCCTGGAATTTTAACATAATGTGTAACACAGAAAAGTTTGCATGGAGGTAAATAATATCCAATTAACAAATGCATTTCACTTGAATATTTGAAGTCATTTTTACTCGTGCTTTTTTTAATCAATAAATGTCAAAATATGAACAAATTTTCCTGTGAGTTTGTCTTTTGCTAATCAAATATCAATTTGTTCAAAACACATTTTTCTGTCTGAGTTTCTTTGTCTTTGTGCCATCATTTCATACATTGGAATGGGTAGGAATGTTTTTTTTTTTTTTTTTTTAGATTTCAATAAAAAGTATTTGATTTTTACACTTTAAATGTTTTCTCCCCCACAAGTGTTAAATGATCATCAGTAACAATTTAGTAGCCATTACATACCAATTCTAAAGTTTCTTTTAACACCCCCCCATCGTACACCTAAATAAGTAATCTTTGATTTTCAGAAATTCAAAATATTAAGCCTTTTATTGTGGAAAATCCAGTTTATAAAGCCTTTTAACTAAACATCCCATTACTGTTATTTCCTGTCTACAGCAGCTCTTATTTGAACTTATAGTAGAAATTGATTTTTTTTTTTTTTCTTTCAGTTGGTACGAGACACATTAGGAGATGAACAATTGCGTCCAAGAGAGAAAGGAGTCTTCTCAGATATTCTAAACTAATATCTACCATTCATATTTTAAGGCTGTGAGCAATTCTTTGTAAGGCTTTGCAGATACAATCAAAATTCAAAATTTGCAAATCTCTTTCCGATAATTACATTAATAGCCACAGTGTGTATCACAAATAAAATTTATTATGATTAATATTTCTGAATAACATAACCAGGTTGAATTTATTCTTTTGTTCCCATATTCTAAGTTTAATATGTTGATATTGAACTATGGATGAAAAAAAACTGTTCAAATTGACAGTTTTCAGAAGCCAAAGACCATCACGTGAAGTTTCCAGCATGTGTATCAGATTTTAGTTAACAAAATTAAGATATTTGCATTTTGTAGTCAGTCTTTGGTTGTTCTTTTATGCTAATTTGTTTATCTAAATTATGTCTTAAATAATGTAAAGGATTAATTCTGCCAAAAATGAAAACAGCCCTTGTCCAATTAGGCAAATATTGATCTGATTTATAATTTTGCTTCAAGTTTTAAAAAAAAGAAATCTCTTTCTTGAAAGTCAATCATCCCATTTATTTATCTCTGCTTAAATTCATTTTTTTTTTTTTTGTCAAAAATTGATTTTTTTTAATCTTATTTTTATTTCTAAGCAAGTTAACTTGATAGCAAATAATGACTGTGCTGAACTTAACTGCCATCATTATGGTGATGAAATTATCTCTCCGTCTTTCAAAATGTTCATAATTTAATAATAGATTAAATGATCTTCTTATTTTAACAGTTATTTTTCTTCATACATTATTTTGTTATTTGTATTCTTTTACTGGCAGATTCTTTGGTTAATTCTTCAGCAATTCTTCATTCTCAGATTACTTTTGTATTATACAAAATCTTTAATTGCTCTTATTTACTCTTTTTATTAAAAAAAAGAAAAAGAAAAGGAAATTATCCAGTATTCAAGACTCTTTTTCTTTTCAAACATGTCTTTGTTTGTTATATTTAACTATTGTTTTGTTCTTTTTACCTTGGCTCAGAAACCAACCGCTGATTTCTATGGGGAAAATCTACAACTACCTCGTGCATGAGGCAGGTCATTTCTTTCTTTATTCATAATTATATTTAAGAAAATTATACCGAATTTGTCAAGGTTAAGTCAAGGAAGTAGTTTTTTTTTTTTTTTTTTTTTTTTTCTGAAATAAGTCTTGAAAATTTGCTGTTCATCCTTGACAAAGGTTAGAGTTTTGTAAGTCTATGCTAACCACATGAGAAGATTATCTATACCAGAATTCCTGATGTTATGCAAATTTTTTAGACTTATTTCAGAAAAAAAAACTGCTTCCTTCACACTGGCAAATATGGTACTTATTATATTTGTTAATATGTTTGTTTTTTTTGTTGTTTTTTGTTTGTTTTTTTTTCACTAATATTCACAATACAAGGCCTCAAGAGCCACTCAAGATAGAGGGTTACTGAATGAGGTGAGTAGTATGGACATGAAATTAGGAAGTGAAGGTTATGAGGATATAGAGGATATTTGACTCTGGACTTGAGGAGGTTAAGATTTTATTGTTTTGGGAAGCATCCTCTTGGGAGTCTCTTCCACAAAGTAGCTGTCTGGAACATCCTTCTTATCAATGGAATACGAAGACAAGGTACAGTTACATTTAACTTCCCTGTGGCTGGCCTCAGGGTTATATGTGATTGTGTTTTGAATGTCGCTATTGTACCTGAAAGCCATCAGGGTTTTGTTATAGATTGGATCTATAATTGAATCTAGATCAGCTTTTCTAGATCTTTTTTAATAAAACTTATCCAACATGTTGTCCGCTTTGTCTAGTGTGGTTAGGGAAACCCTGAAACTCTTATTAATTTTAAGCACGCTATTATAAAAAAGTGAGTTGCTGCATCAAATAGCCTGTTAAGTAAAACATTTATGCACTATTTCTCCTTTCTGGCTGTATAAGATGGTAATATTAGCTGTTTCCTTATAAGGAAACATTTGGGATGGTCTAATGGATCATATGATACCATTCATCTTAGTGTCCTTTTATGTTAATTCTCTTGGGAAAACATAAACTCAAATTTGTGTAAATCTTGTTACACTGTCAATAGATTTTCTCTTGAAAGATGAAAAAACAAGAGAACAATGTTGTGCAAGTCACACTTCACTTTCAAGTTGTCACCAAATGAGAAAAATTTCTTATAAAATTTTCTTGTTCAATGGTTACTATTTCTTTATTCTAGTGGAATTGGTTCTCCAGTTGAAGAGGTTTTTATAAAAGAAAGATTTTCAGATTATAAATTTGCACAAAGGATTCTTTTTTTCCTACTAATCAGTTCAGTGTGTACAAAATCTCAAATAACATAATTAGTCAATATTATCTACCACTTGACTATAATAGTATCAAGCTAGCTATTGAAAAACTGCTTGGTCATTCACTTATATAGTAAATTAGATCCTCACAGGTTAACTGACTCTTGTAGCTTCTGGTTAATAAAAATTTCTGAAGGTGTTTGAAGATTGCCAAATGTAATAGTTAACAAGTTTGTCTATCAGACCTGTTAGATACTCGAAGGGCAGCTCATTACTATTGTCTTGGGCCCAAATTAGTACATATTTAGGGGTTTTTTACTATATAAGCAAGTCTCACAGATCATTACTGATTCTCAGTGGCTACTAAAGTTATAGCCTTGTACCAGACTATATTCTAAATAATTTGTTATTGCCAGCCTTTGTTGAAATTGTTGCATTCTTCATTAAGCAGATTTCAAAAATATTTGTTGCTTTGGCTTAATAAAAAAAATACAAAAAGCTATTGTATCAAGTCAAGAATTGAGTGTGTCATATAAATAAAGGCATGTCTTATTTTCTGTGTTTTCAGTTTTTATTTCATATTTGTTTTTTTTTTCTTAAATGACCTCAAGAAGAATTAATAGTAAAACTTCTGAAATATGTTAATCTTTAAAGCAAAAAAACGCAACAACAAAACTGAAGGTTAATGGATGTAACAAAATATTTAAACCTTTGTTGAGTCATTCAGTATTAAAATCAGTTACTATTTATTCAGGAGGCACAGTGGAGTAATGGATTTTTGGCTTGGATTGAGGATTTGGAGATCCGGGTTCAAATTTCAGTTGAATCCATTACATTCACTTACGTGCTAATACCCTTGGGAAGGGTATTAATCCTCTTCTTCTCCCCCTAGCTATGGGTAAATAGCAGGACAAACCAAGTTCTATAGCCTTGGATGACAACTGGTCTACCGCAGAAAGAAATGGCAACCTATTGTGGGAAAAAATCTGCCTTGTTAGTCATGTATCGAAAAATACATGATCACCTAAATGTGTATCACACATGGCACATAACTAACTGACTATTTATTCAGTTTTCTTTTTAATCCAGAACTAGATATGTTTTATATGAATAAATATTTTTAATAATTTCCATAAAATTTTTTGATGTTGAGATTGTACATGCACATGGGAATATGCACACACACACACACACACACACACACACACAATGAAGAAAAAATAAATAAATAAAAATAAATTGTTTTTTAATGTAATATAAAAATGAAAAAATAAACACTTGATTGCTTATACCTCCTGAAGAGTGGACAGAGCAATTGCTAAAAGTTCCGTCTACAAAACTCTGGAGTGAGGGTACTGAATATAACACCAATTAGATAAGTAACAAATTTCATATTTGTATTAATCTTATATATATTGTGAATAATTCTTGAACAAATGTCTAGTCAGATCCTTTTATTTTGGAATATAGACCCCTTATCCTTTACAAAGAATAGTAGGTTATTCACAGCGATGCTTTCACTATAAAATTCCTGTCAAGTGCAAGTGAGATTACCATGGCTCAATCAGGAAGTGCTTTACCATATATAATGCTATAAAATGGGAGGAAAAAAATTCACCTAATAAAAAAATTCAACAGACTTTGTTGCTCTTTCCACTTTAAGGATTTTTTTATAAAATGCACATGTTATAGAATTGAGCGAAGCAGATGACTGGAAATTTTAGTAAAATTCAATCTTGACTGCCAACCCAGAAAATAGATAATATTCTGTGCTGGGAAATGTTTGATGAAATCAGTTTATGAAAAACAATGATCATGTAAAATAAAGCTCAAGTATCTTAAATTTTGTAAATCAGTCATCAAACTGGTCTGTTATTTGTTAAAATTAGTAACTGACAAATGAATCTGAAAAAAAAAAAATCAAAACTTATAACAAAAAAAGTTGTGTGAATTTGTTTTAATTTTTTTATTTTCATTGACATTTTTTTTATAATCTAATTTTCAATCATGAAATTTCTTTTACTTCTACTAGTCTTGATGCTTGCATATTAATATAAGGTCTTGCAAATACACATTTTTGGATGGAGGATGTCAATCCAAAATTTCTACTAGCCTACAATTATTGAGAAACATTTTAGCAAGGCACTTATTAGTGATATCCAATGAGACCACAAAAAATTTAGATGTGAGTAGTTATTTTTATTTATTTATTTATTTTTTTTTTTTGTGATTTACGCTTGTACTGTAGTGGCATCCAAAATTCAATATACCCTGGTGTAAGCACTTACCTTCCATCTCTGAGTATGTCTCCATGTTCTTGAATTTACCAAGATGAGCATTAAGGATATGACCTTTGAAGGACATCCTGCAGCCCATTTTATCATAGTTTTTCACTAGGGTCTCAACAAGCCTTTTTTGTGATTCCCCAGGAAGCCCTGAACCACTGTGACAAGCTGTTTCATGTTGCTTTCTCTATCCTAATGAGCTACTTAGGGAATTCTTTGCACTCTGTGATCATCTTTATTTGTGGTCTGACAGAGGTACCAGTTTTGACTTTTGCTGCAGACAGCTTAGAGAAGAAGTATTGAAGGTTGCAGACTCCTTATCTAAAGCTGTGACAAATGTTCTCATAACACCCAATTTTAAGTGCAGTGGAAGAAACAATACTTTTCAGGTTTCCAGCAGTGACTCCTATTTAATGTTGTTCTTCCCCACACAGAGAACTCTGTCCACT